ATGCCTCTGCACACCTGTGCACACGCCTTACAGTGTGCACACGTGGGCTAACAGCGCGTGCTGTGCCTGCAGGCCCGCAGTCTTCAGGCCGTGCCCCGGCTGGTGAAGCTCTTCAACCACGCCAACCAGGAGGTGCAGCGCCACGCCACGGGCGCCATGCGCAACCTCATCTACGACAACGCGGACAACAAGCTGGCCCTGGTGGAGGAGAACGGCATCTTCGAGCTGCTGCGGACGCTGCGCGAGCAGGACGACGAGCTGCGCAAGAACGTCACAGGTGCCGGGCCGCGGCCACCCCTCTGCTGTGTCCTTCTCCTGTCCCGTCTCCGCCTGCCCGCCCTGTCCCACCTCTGGTCCCGTGACTACCCTGGGGCGGGTCTCCAGTGCCCAGGGCCAGGTCCCCGGGCCGCACGCCAGCTGTCCCCAGGGGGCGCGCAGGGAGGCTCCCCACCCCGGGCCCAGGCGCAGCCCCGGGAGAGGTTACACGCTTCCTCCCACCCTCCCCGGGAGAGCCGGAGGGTGGCGGGCGCCCCTGACCAGGCCTCGGCCTCCCCGCCCAGGCATCCTGTGGAACCTGTCCTCCAGCGACCACCTAAAGGACCGCCTGGCCCGGGACACGCTGGAGCAGCTCACAGACCTGGTGCTGAGCCCCCTCTCGGGGGCCGGGGGGCCGCCCCTCATCCAGCAGAACGCCTCCGAGGCGGAGATCTTCTACAACGCCACGGGCTTCCTCAGGTGCGGGGGCGGGGCTTCCCAGGGAGGGGGCGGGGGCTTCCTCAGGTGCGGGGAGGGGCTTCCCAGGGAGGGGGCGGGGCTTCCTCAGGTGCGGGGCTTCCCAGGGGAGGGGGCGGGGCTTCCCAGGGGAGGGGGCGGGGCTTCCCAGGGGAGGGGGCGGGGCTTCCTCGGGTGCGGGGGCGGGGCTTCCCAGGGGAGGGGCGGGGCTTCCTCCGGTGCGGGGGCGGGACTTCCCCAGGGGCGCACGGGGCGGGGCTTCCCCAGGGGAGGGGGAGGGGCTTCCCAGGTGCGGGGGCGGGACTTCCTCAGGTGCAGGGGCGGGGCTTCCTCGGGTGCAGGAGCGGGGCTTCCCCAGGGGCGCAAGGCGGGGCTTTCCCAGGGGCGCGGGGGGCGGGGCTTCCTCAGGGGCACCCAGGAGCGGGGTGGGAGAGGATGCCAGGATGCCAGGGAGAGCGGGTGCTGGGGGGGCTGAAAGAGGAGGCAGAGAAGCAGTCAACCAAGCAAGACCCAGGTACTGAGGCAGCCAGTGTGGCTCAGTGGTTGAGCATCGACCTATGAACCAGGAGGTCAGGGCACAGGCCCAGGTTGCAGGCTCCATCCCCAGTGTGGGGCGTGCAGGAGGCAGGCGATCCATGATTCTCATCATTGATGTTTCTCTCTCCCTCTCCCTTCCTCTCTGAAATCAGTAAAATTATATTTAAAAACTAAAAGACAGAGGTGCTGGCGCAGTGGGTCCGGTGCCAGCTGTGGCTGCCAGGTGTGATGTCAGTGGACTCTGGGCCTGCAGGCTCAGGTTTCATTAAATCAGGCACCTGATCTGACATTCCTAGGAGGGGAGGGGGATGCAGTGGGACCAGGGACCAGGGGCAGGAGGTGCCGAGGGGCCCAGTGCAGGGGGAGAAGGGGGCGGGCACTAAGGATTTTAGCCCTCGGGCTCAGGTCTCCGTGGGGTGGGCTCCTCCCGGGGTCCCTGGGGGGGTCTCTGATCTGCCTCCACCCGCAGGAACCTCAGCTCGGCCTCCCAGGCCACTCGCCAGAAGATGCGTGAGTGCCATGGGCTGGTGGACGCCCTGGTCACCTACATCAACCAGGCCCTGGACGTGGGCAAGTGCGAGGACAAGGTGAGGGGTGGCCGGTGGGAGGGCGGCCGGTGGAGTGGGGAGGTGCCAGCCCGTTCTGACCACAGTCCGCCCCCTCAGAGCGTGGAGAACGCTGTGTGCGTGCTGAGGAACCTTTCCTACCGCCTGTACGACGAGATGCCGCCGTCAGCCCTGCAGCGCCTCGAGGGCCGGGGCCGCAGGGACATGGCCGGGGCGCCCCCCAGCGAGGTGGTGGGCTGCTTCACGCCACAGAGCCGGCGGCTGCGAGAGGTGGGCTCGGGCCTGGGCTGGCGGGAGCAGGGGCCTGGCCTGACCCTGGCTGACCTCTGTGCCCACCGCCCAGCTGCCCATCACTGCCGACGCACTCACCTTCGCCGAGGTGTCCAAGGACCCCAAGGGCCTCGAGTGGCTGTGGAGCCCCCAGATTGTGGGCCTGTACAACCGCCTCCTGCAGCGCTGCGAGCTCAACCGGCACACAACGGAGGCGGCCGCCGGGGCCCTGCAGAACATCACCGCCGGCGACCGCAGGGTGAGGCCACGAGCAGGGCCCCGGGCGGACGGGACCCATGCCTGGCCACGCGCAGGGGACACACGGTGGGCGGGGGGGTAGGGGCACGGGGCGTGAGAGCCTTCTCTCCGGGAGTTGACAGTCTGTTGGGAGAGGGACAGTGACAGGGGGATGGATGCAAACTTGTGGATGGGCCAGAACGACCCAGGGAGGGAGGGAAGGCAGCCTCGGAGCTGGGCAGGAGGGACCAGAAGGAGGGGGTGTCTGGGATGCTGTGCTGGGTCTGAGGGGAGCTGCCCAGCAGGTCTAAGTCCAGGGGGGCCCGCCTGGTGAGGTCCCGGCAGTCCCGCCTCAGTTTCCCCAGGGGTCGGCTGCGGGGATGCCAAGGGGGCGCTGGCGCCTTCACCTGCACCCACCAGCCCCTCTCCGGCCTGCAGTGGGCGGGCGTGCTCAGCCGCCTGGCCCTGGAGCAGGAGCGCATCCTGAACCCGCTGTTGGACCGCGTCCGCACGGCCGACCACCACCAGCTGCGCTCACTGACCGGCCTCATCCGAAACCTGTCCCGGAACGCCAGGAACAAGGACGAGATGTGTGAGTCTGCGCCCGCCCGGCTCTGCCCCCGCCCACCCCGTGGCCTCTGCCCCCGCCGGGCTGGCTGCTGGCGGGCTGGCGGGCAGAAGGGCTGGGAGTGGGGCTGACACTGACCCGCCTCCCGGTCTCCCGCAGCCACCAAGGTGGTGAGTCACCTGATCGAGAAGCTGCCGGGCAGCGTGGGCGAGAAGTGCCCGCCGGCGGACGTGCTGGTGAACATCATCGCGGTGCTCAACAACCTGGTGGTGGCCAGTCCCATCGCCGCCCGGGACCTGCTGTACTTTGACGGGCTCCGCAAGCTCGTCTTCATCAAGAAGAAGCGTGACAGGTGAGCGCCCCCCGGGCCCCCCACCCCCCGCCTTCTGGCTGAGCCTGTCCCTCGCTGACCCCTGCCCTCACCCCCCAGCCCCGACAGCGAGAAGTCCTCCCGGGCAGCCTCCAGCCTCTTGGCCAACCTGTGGCAGTACAACAAGCTCCACCGAGACTTCCGGGCGGTAGGTTCTGGCATCGGGGCGGGCAGGCCACGGGGCGGGGCTCGGAGACGGGGGTGGAATTGGAGGCCAAGGGCACGGGGTCCCCCCCAGCACCCGGGGAGGGCGGCGTGGGTGCAGGGCGGCCGGCACCCCCTCACTCGCACCCCCCCCTGATTGCAGAAGGGCTATCGGAAGGAGGACTTCCTGGGCCCCTAGGCGAGGCCTTCCCGGAGGAGGAGGACGCGACTCGGCCCAGGTTCCCGAGGCCGGGCCCAGCCCCTGCTGCTGGAGGGCCGCCTGGAGGAGAAGACAGGTGGCCCAGGGCCGCTCGCTGGAGCCCCGAGTGCAACTGGGGAAGGCCTGGGCCACCAGGGAGAGGACAGGGGACGGGGGCTTGCAGCTGGGGACGAGGCTTCCGCAGGGCAGGGAGTGGGCAGGGCTTGAGGCTGCTCTGGTGCATGGGGTGGGGACCAGGCCACACTGGCAGAGGCGGGGCTGCCCATGGCGGGCAGTGCCTCAGGGCAGCCAGCGCTGAAAATAAAGGTGGTCGTGAAGACAGCAGCCAGGCCCGCACGCGTCTTCTTGTTTAAAAAATGTGTTTTTATTGGTTTCAGAGGAAGGGAGAGGGAGAGGGAGATAGAAACATCAATGATGCCAGAGAACCATTGACAAGCTGCCTCCTGAACGCCCCCTACAGGGGATGGAGCCTGCAACCTGGGCATGCGCCCCGGTCGGAACCGAACCGTGACCTCCTGGTTCACGCTGAGCCACTGTAGCCGGACCCACATGCTTCTTTAGCTGGTCTCACCCCTGAGGGACTCCAGTGCCCCCAAACACAGCCAGGCGTGCCCTGGGCTCGCACACAGGCCTCTCCACGCCAGGGAGGAGAGCTGGCCAGCAGCGGAGGAGATGGGGTAGGCAGCTGAGGCCTCAGTGCCCTCTGAGGCGCAGGGACCGGCAGAGCTGGGGACCATTCGTGTGGCAAAGGCACCCAACACCTCTCTTTGCCCTGCCTCCCTTGGGGCTGGGAGTACCCTGACCAGGGACTCTTGAGCTGTCCATCTGAGGCTGGGACCCTCCCCCATCTCACTGAGCCGGGCCCCTTGGTTATGAAGCTCCCACTGATATTTTCACAACAAAGGGCTCCTTCCGCAAAGCTCAGCACCCCAGCCTCTGAGGGGCCTGACTTCTCGGGATCCGTCTGCATCCGAGGGGACTGGGGACTCCACACTGCCCCACGCAGGGGGACCCAAGGAGGCTCCGGCAAGACGTGCCTGAGCTGGCGCAGGAGGGAGAGAGGGGGGGTGGGAAGGATGGAGAGGGGGAGGGTTGGGAGGAGGGAGAGAGGGAGGGTGGGAAGGGTGGAGAGGGGGAGGGTTGGGAGGAGGGAGAGAGGGAGGGTTGGGAGGAGGGAGAGAGGGAGGGTGGGAGTGGACAGCCCGATTTGGTGACTGTGAGGCCACAGGGATGAAAAAAGGGAGGCGTCGGGGGCCCTGGGGAGCCCGAGATGGAAGTAAGAGGTGCCCCACCCAACACAGTGCACCACCCCCCCTTCCTGCCCAGGACAGGACAGGACAAGGCAGAGGTAGGGTCCAAAAGGACTTTATTTTCTGGCACAAGGAGGGGCACTGGGGCCACCCCCGCCCCCAGGGGCTCCAGGTCCGGCTCCCGGGGGATGGGCGAGGGGCGGCTACATGTCGTCCTTGGACACCAGGCAGTAGAAGTCCGTGCGGGCGCTGTAGTTCCGGGAGCCAAGATCCGAGACGTCCACCTCGCTGCCCCGGCCCTCTCCCAGCGAGGCCCTGCTTGCGTGCGGCACAGCTGACGGCTCCCCAAAGACAGGCCCGCGGACACCTGGGGGTACCACCAGGCCTGAAGCCCACGCTCCCTGCTCACCCTCCCGAGTAGTGACATTGGAGGTCCCGGAGGCGCTGGCCAGGCCTCAGGCCCAAGCGCCTCTGAGAAAGAAGCCGTGAGGGGAGGGGGTCCTGGGGGGTCCAGCCCATCCCCAGAGGGCAGGGACGAGTCCCCCCACCTGGGCCCCTCAGCCCTGTGCAGCCCCCTGCACGGGCCGAGTGTCCCAGGGTTGGGGTGGGGCTGGGTGCACATACCCAGGTCCCCCTCGGGGTCGGGGTCCAGCTCGGGGTCCAGGGTCTGGCCCTCGGGGACGTGGCCCCGCACGATCAGCATGGGGTCCTTGTCATCCTGCAGCCGCGTCTGGGGGTCTCCCTCCATCGCTCTGTACTGCACCTTCCGCGGCAGCGCCAGCTGTAGCTCTTTCCAAAAATCGGAGGAAGGCGTCTGGGGGCCAAGGTGGGGACGCGCTTAGCGGGTGGGAACGCACGGGCGATGCAGACACTGGAGGCGCCGGCCCAGGGCCCCCAACAACACACCCGCGGCGTGTTCACTGGCGCCTGGAACCTCACAGGAGGCCCCCGGGGCAGCGGCCACGGAACCCCCGCCCCTCAGAGCGCCCCCGCCCGCCCCCTCTCTCCGCACCACGGAGCCGGGCCGCCAGCGCAGCAGGGTCACCAGGTGGCGGTGCTGGTGCAGCAGGTGCAGCGCGGGGTGCGCGCGGTCGCGCCGCTGGCCGTCGAAGGTGATGAAGATGGGTCGGCGCGTGAGCTCCAGCAGCCGGCACAGGCCCTCCCTGCGGGCGCGGGGCCGTCAGCAGGTCGCACCGGGCCACCCCCCACCCCCGCCCCGCCCCCCCGCGCGGGACCCACCGGAAGCTGTGGCTGCACCAGGGCCGCCCCAGGAAGGCGTCTGACAACACCACGATGAGGCGACGGCAGCGGCTCAGGTTCACCAGGAGGTCGGCCGAGGGCTCTGCGGGGACCGGGACCGGGGAGGGGCTGGGACCACCGCGGGCAGGGCGCGTCCGAGGCGAGGCGGGCGGGGCCCCGGGAGGGGGCGGGGCCCGGAGCCCGGGAGGCGGGGCCTGGGTTAAGGAAGGGGTGGAGGGGCGGGGCCTGGGTTAAGGAAGGGGTGGAGGGGCGGGGCCTGGGTTAAGGAAGGGGTGGAGGGGCGGGGCCTGGGTTAAGGAAGGGGTGGAGGGGCGGGGCCTGGGTTAAGGAAGGGGTGGAGGGGCGGGGCCTGGGTTAAGGAAGGGGGGCGGGGGGCGGGGGACAGGCAGCGTAGGGCGGGGCCTGGGTCCGGGGCGGGAGCCGAGCGCGCCCCGCACCTGCCCGCGGCAGGAGGTCGCGGTCGTCCAGGAAGAGCTTGTAGCCCCGACACCGTTCCAGCTGCGGCTTCAGGATGAAGTTCACGAACTTGCGATCATCGGGGCTGTCGCTGTAGGAGACGTAGGCGTCGTAGAGCTTCCCGTCTGCGGACGGCAGCGGGTCAGCTCGGCCGCTGTCCAGGCCCAGACCTGCACCCCAGGCGCTGTCTCCTGGGGCCCCTAACCCTCTCCTCACGGCCCCTCCCCAGTACAGGATGCCGAGGGGAGCCCTCGAACCAGGACCCGGGCAGCAGACCCAGGCCCTGGGGCCTCCTGACCCGCGTGGAGTCCCTCCTTCCGCAGCGTGCTCACCGGAGCCCTGCATGGCCGGTGCGTCCCTGTTCCCCACCTCGGAAGCCACTCCCTGCGCTGACCCCGGGCAGGCCGTCCGCCCACGCACCGTGGCCCACGCACCGTTCATCTCCACCTCCCCGTAGGCATTTTGGTACCAGAGCTGCACGTTGAGTCGGCACTTCAGGTAGAGCAGGGCGGCCAGGAGCAGGGCCAGCAGGACCAGCAGTGAGGCCAGCACGGCGGCCAAGTGGCCTGCTGGGGCTGGGGACAGAGCTGCATCCTGAGCCCCTGTCCCCTCACCACCCCCTCCAGCCTCTAGGCTCCCAGCCCCCCGCCCCCCCATCCCCAACTCGGGTACCCCCTCACCAGCTCTCCAGAGAGTGAAGGAAGCGGAGCTGACGTTCTGGACGGAGCAGGTGAAGGCCCCGTAGTCCTCAGCACTGGTCAGGTTGACCCCCAGGACACTGGATACAAGCACCTCTGACAGGTTGGCCTTGACCCTGAGGAGACCAGGCCCCAACTTCTCAGCAGGGGCCCAAGAGCATCAGGGGACCCCCGGAGCCCCGCCTGTCCGGGATGCCGAGAGCCTGCAGGTGTGGCCTCCTGGGCAGCTCATGGGCCATGAGCTGAGAGAAGCGGCAGAACCTGGAGTGGGTATGGATCTGTCTAGCGAGCCACCCTAATCCTGGGCCTGGGTCCTGGGGTGCTCCGATCCCAAGCGTGGCCCAATGGCCGGTGCCTCCTTCAGGCCTCAGGACTCTGCTGGCACCCATGGTCCCAGGTGGTGTGCAGAGTGTCTACGGGGCCGCCTGTCCCTCCGGTCATTGACCCTCCGTCTGTGTCCATAGGGGCACTGTGCTGTGTCATGTCCGGGAGGTCACTCCCCAGCCATGTCCAGGTGGTCACAGACCAGGGTGTAGGTCAGAGAGGCCACTGGCCATGGGTGTCCAGGGTGGTCTCTTACCAGGCGTCCTCATGAAGGTCATAATGGCTGCCGTTGCCCAGCGGCTGCCCGTCCTTTAGCCACCGGACTGGGAGCAGGGGACATTGGGGCGCAGAGACCACCCAGGCCGTGCAGTTCAGCGTGACCACACTGCCCAGGGGAGGCCCCAGAGTCTGGTCTCCGGAAGGGGAGAGGAAGTTGGGGGGCCTGTCGCAGACGCCTGCAGAGAGAGGACCCAGAGGGTTAGCCGCGCTCAGGACACCAGGCCCCCCTTGTCCACAGACAGTCTGAGGGCCAGGAACCACAAGGCCGGCCAGTGGCCTGGACTGCTTGGTGGTCACACCATGTCCATCCGCGAGTCCCATGGAGAATGGGGCCCCAGCATCTGACGGCTCATCCATCCAGGACGAGAGCCCCAGGTGCAAGGCCTCAGCCCCACCCCCACTGGGGAGCTGTAGTGAGTGTGGGCACCGTGGTTTGGGGGACTGGGGTGCTGGGGGTGCCAGCACCTTCCACCTGAGATGGGAGCCAGGGTCCCAGAACCCTCTGCTGACCACAGGCAAGCCTTTCCACCTCCTGAGACCTGAGCTTCTCTTCTTAAAATCAATGGACTGAGCATGAGCAGGGGTCAGAGCACACAGCCACTGCCTGATGGCACGGTGCCCAGCAGCCCGCTCTCCCCGCCCGCGCCCTGGGCCCCCCAGCAGCGCCCACCCCCACAAGCCTGGAGGCGGGGGAGCAGAGTCTGGGCTACATGGCAGCCTGGCGCCAGGGAGGTGCTGGAGGTAAAGCGGGGCCCGTGCCCGTCCCTCTGACCCATCTACCTGCCATGGTCTGACCAGGGCCTCCTCGAGCAAGCCGGGCACGGTGCCACCCCTGGCTCCACGGCTCCTCAGCTGAGCAGGCTGGACCCCAGGGCTGGCAGGACTCGCTCTCTGTCTTTGTGGTGGGTCAGTCAGGCTGCCAGGATGGGTCAGAGGCTGCCGCCATTCCCAGAGAGCAAGTTAAACAAGAACAGGACGAGTTAACATGTAACTTCGGTCACAAGCAGCGCTGTGCACTGGCTGCCTCTGGGATGGCAGCGGGGCACCCAGACACCAGAACAGAGTCTCTCTGAGCCCCTCACACCGGGCCCTCGACTCACCTTCACCTGCCCCAGGGCCGCCACCGTGACGGCCCAGGATGGAACAGTGGGCATCTCTCTGGCACCCTCATGAGGCCAGGAGCGGGCCTGCCCTGCACACTCACCCGTTCACACCCCTCTTCTGCACAGGCTCTCTGCACACCCTCCTCCCCCCCGCCCCACTGCACACACACACCTGCACTAAGCTCCCACCTTAGCCCATGTGCGCACGTGGACACTGCCCACCCTCCAGCCCTCTGGGGCCCACACAGTAGGCACACCCGGCACACACGGGCACAGCTCCTGCCAGGGACGCAGCCAGGAGCACCTGCATGTCCCCACCACACACATGAACCACCCCCTTGGCGCACAGCAGCCTCCTGTTGGCCCTCGCTCTCCCAGGCACATGCTGCAGGCCTCCCCTCGGCCAGGCCTGACCCAGGACAGGCCTCAGGCCGGGGAGGCCTCAGTGGGTGAGGATTCAGGCTGCCGCAGAGCAGCAGGCCGAGGGGGGAGGGCGCCCAGTCACCTGGTTCCGGTCCTGCTAGCAACGCTGGTCATGGAAGTCATTGACTTGTGCTTGGGAGCAACTCCGCTCGGCAGGCCCCGGCCCCGTCCCACTGGCTGCTGGAGACCCATCACCCAGCAGGGCGAGGACCTGGCTTTGTGTGTGTATTTTAATCAGAACTTTTCCGAAGCTTCCTGGCCGCGCAGTCACATCCTCTCCTAACCCTAAACCCCACCCAGGCGCCACCCCTCCAGGCGGGCGGGCAGTGGGTTGGCCCCGCCCGCGCCGCCTGCCACTCTTCCTGTAACTCTGAGTCAAGGGCTCCTTCCTCTGGGCCCGACCGCTTCCCGGGGCCAGGCCTGAGGTGCCGGGAGGATGCAGAGGCTGGGGCCAGGCAACGTGAGGGTCCTGGAGAGGAGACCCCCGTCGGGCCGTCCTGCACACACACAGGAGGGCCTCTGGGCAGTGTGGCCTGCTGCCTACAGACCTCACAGACACCACACCAGGGCAGTGGGCGAGTCTCCAGTCCTCCCCACAAGTGAGCAGCCCCGTGCCTCTACCAGCCGTGGGCAAACTACGGCCCACGGCCCGTTTGAAATGAATAAAACTAAAAAAAAAAAAAAGACCGTACCCTTTCATGTAATGATGTTTACTTTGAATTTATATTAGTTCACACAAACACTCCATCCATGCTTTTGTTCCGGCCCTCCGGTCCAGTTTAAGAACCCATTGTGGCCCTCCAGTCAAAAAGTTTGCCCACCCCTGCTCTAACCTCTGACCTGTTGGTGGGGGAGGGGTCCTACAGTAACTTCTGCCAACAATGGGGCCTTGAGCGGGGCTCTCTGGTCCCCTCCGGTGTAGCCCCCAAACTCACAAGTGGGCTGAGGTATCCTGTGGACCTTGGTTTCCGGCTAGGAGTGGGGGACAGGGGTGGGGGAGTGGGAGTGGCGGGGGGAACAGTGCTCCCTTTTCCAGGCAAGGAAGTCAACAGGGGCCTTGGCAGAGGCCAGGTGGGGGGCAGCCCGCAGCCCCAGGCTGACCTGGGACTCAGGGCCTAGCAGCAGGTGTCCCTACCCTCACCCATGCGGGGCCACCAGAGAAGCATCTTAAATGCATCAGGTTTCATACACCCTTCATCTGACCCCGGCCCAGCCCTGCCAACCCCACCGTGGCCTCTAAGAACCTTGGGTGAGGGTCCCACAGAACCGAGCCTGGGCCCGCTGGAGGGATCAGCTGTCCTAGCCTCTCCTCCAGGTGCCAGTGGCCTGGAGGCTAGTAGATGTGAGGCCCCTGGGCAGAGCAGAGCTGAGCTGAGCTCTCCCCGGGTGCCCCCCCCCCCCGTTCCGTCCCCCCCACCCCCAGCCTCGCGGGATTTCAACGCTCCAGCCAGACTGTCCCCTCTACTAGCGTCCACCTCATCCTCCTTCGCCTCCCAGGCCCTCCCTCCAAGGGGAGCGGAAAAACCCACGTGGCCTCAGGCGCCCTCACCAGCAGCCCTTCTGAACCCACGCGCGCCCCCTGCGCCCCAGCACCTTTGGCTCCACAGCCGTGGTTCGCGGAAAGCCCGGACTCCTCCGCCCTTAAGCCCCTGCCCGCCGCCGGCTTCGCTGCTCAGAACCCAGGGTCTCCGAGCGTCTCCCCCTCCTGCGGGGCGCGCAGCCCCTCTGCGCCCCGGCGTCTCTCCCGAAGCAAAGAGCGTGCATCGGAGGCTGTGGCCACGCGGGCCGAGGGCTCCGTCCTGCTGTCCCGGGCCCAGGAGCCCGGTCCTCCCCGCCACACGCCCCACAGCTCGCGCTCCGCCTCCCCGGGGTGGACTTAGGACCCCACACTCCAGGTGCGGGAGCCGCGCGCAGAGGGCGGGAGCGCGCGGGGCGGGGGCGCGCGAGGGCAGGAGCTCCGCCCGGCGACCGTGCGCCGCGCCCCCTGCACGTTTCTCCGGCCGCTCACCAACCCCCCCCGCCCCCCCCCGCCCCCCCCCCCCGCCCCCGGGCCTTGGGAGGTCTCAGGTCTAAGGTCCGGGTGTGGGGCGTTGGTGGAGGTCCGGCGCCCCCTCCCTCTCCTGCGCAAAGCTCACTAGGAAGCCACTGCTCGCGCCGGACGCAGCGGGAAGGCCCGAGAGGCCGGTGCGCGGACGGGCTTGGGCTTCCGGCGACGCGGGCAGCCAGCCCGGCTCCGAGCCGCTTCCTGCGGGACCGCGCCCGCCCGGAGGCTCCTGGGGCAAGGTGCCCCTCTGGCTCCGCGAGCACCGGGCCTGGGTCCGACTTCTGGGAGTCGGCGACCTCCACTCACCCCCGTGGGTCTGGGCCGTGACTGCCACTCATCTGCTGCCGAGCCTGGGGCGCGCGCGACCGCGGGGGCGGGGCGGCTCACCTGGGTCAGGTGCACAGCGCGACAGCCCCGGCGGCGCGACAGGTGCAGTCCCGCCCATCGCCCAGGCTGAGGGCGGACCCAATGTCTCGCTTGGCGCCCAAGGCTGGCACTCAAGACTGGCGCCCAGCGGCCAGGCCTGGGGCAGAGGCCAAACCCGCCACCCAGCCCTGAGAGTGGGCGCCTGGGAGGGACTCCCTGGAGATTCCACCGTCCCCAGGGTCACCGGGTCACCGTTTGCGGTTCTGCTCCTCCTCCCCAGCTCTTCCTCTTCCTCCGGGAAGCCTGCCTTGACTCCAGCCCCCAAATCCCAGGTGTAGGGAGGGTAGGACCCTAGAAAGGTGCCTCTCACTTGGAAGCTCATGGAAACCCAGAGGAGGAGGGCCAGGAGGCTACCACACCCAGACCTTTCTCCACCTGGGCCTCAGTTTCCCACCTAGGCCCGAGGGTAGACACAATCCACCAAGAGGCCCAAACGTTGGCACAAAGAGGTTTTATTTTATTATAAAAAGTTCTGCTGGCTAAGGGGAGCCAGAGAGGTGGGGCCGGGGCCTCTGACTAGCCAGGGAGGGGGTGGGACAGGATGGGGCCCAGAAGCCAGAGGGGGCCCAGCAACGGCTGACTTTCCTGTGTTGTGCCTGCACCCCCTTCCGTTGTATGGGGGGCAGTGCTCACCCAGAGTTCAAGCCAGGGTTGGGCCAAGCCTGAGCCCTAACAGATGGAATAGCTAAGTGTGCTGCCCACTGTGCCCTAGACCCCTCATATACACAGACCCCCCAAGATCTCCCGTATACAGGGGCCTCCCCGGGACCCTCATATACACAGACCCCCCAGGATCTCCCGTATACAGGGGCCTCCCCGGGACCCTCATATACACAGACCCCCCAGGATCTCCCGTATACAGGGGCCTCCCTGGGACCCTCATATACACAGACCCCCCCAGGATCTCCCGTATACAGGGGCCTCCCCGGGACCCTCATATACACAGGCCTCCCTAGACCCCTCATATACACAGACCCCCCCAGGATCCCTCATATACAGGGGCCACCCCAGGCCACTCATATACACAGGCCTTCCTGGGCCCTTCATATACACAGACCCCCCAGTGTCCCTCATATACAGGGCCTCCCAGGACCCCACATATACAAGGTTTCCCAGGACCCCTCACATACACCCACATACATGTGAGCGTTCTTACACCCCCCTCCACACACACACGGCCGCGAGCAGGGTGGAGGCGGCGGTGGCGGCTGAGGCCCTGCCCGGTGCCAGCAGCAGCTCCGGGTCCCTTACACGTCCGTGCTCCGGAGGCTGGAGCTGGAGGCAGGAGTGGCCCTCGGGCCCAGGCCCGGCCCCCACAGCTGCCTCGGCCCCCCGCGCAGCTTGCCCAGGAGCACCTCGTACTTCTGCTCCAAGACGCTGTTCTTCACCGACTGCGGCACGTCCGGCACGAACCAGGCGGCCACCAGCTTGATGCACAGGGCCACGTGCTGCGGGCGGGGCGGGGCTGAGTGGAGCGGTCAAGCAGGCGGGGGGGGGGGGGGAGGACCCCCCAGTTCTGCCCACCTCGAAGAGGATGAGGAAGGCCAGGCGGATGGCCAGGAGGGTCCAGAACTGTTCCGAGAAGTTGTAGTCCTGAGCGTTGCGGTAGTCCCGGTACCTGGGGTGTGGGCAAGACCTAAGGTCAGGGGTCAAGAGTTCAGAGGGCACACATGGGGAGGCCGGGGGTCCAAACCTGCATTCAGTGACGTTCTCTGAGCCCTTTATCCTGACCGGGTCCTCGAAGTCCTTGGTGTGGAACACGGACAGACTGTGGTTGATGTAGCCAGTGAGGCAGCTGGCGGGAGGGGGAGAGGAGACGGGCCTGGGCTGCAGGGTGCGTGGGTGCTTCCCTAGAGCTGATTCCTGTCTGGTGGGTCACCACAGACCCCTCCTCATTCCTCCATGTGGGAGAGGGCCCCTGGGGGAGGCTGAAGGGGCTCCGGATGCCACCACCTGCCTCCCCTGCCCAGGACTGAGGGGAGCCTTAGGTGGGACTCTTGTGCCGGGCAGGCCACAGAGGGTCTGCCTTTTGGGGGCAGGGGTTCAGTGCCTGCTCAGGACACAGCTGGTTCTGGGACCTAAATCCCCCACTGGGGTCCCGGTCAGCACTCCTGGCTCCAGCCCGGGTCTGCAGGGCAGGGCAGAGGCAGTACCGGCAGCACTGAGCCCTTCCCCGGGCTCCCTTGCTGAGCTGTGGTTGGGGTCTCTGGGCAGTTTGAGCCCCCCAGGGACTGTGTGGCCGCGCCCCTTACTCGGCTGAAGAGCGGGCGCCCTGCCGGCACGGGCCGTAGCGGTACTTGTAGACGACCCTGGGGATGAACTCGGACGTGAAGGCGATGACCATCCCGTTGGCAATGACCGCCAGCACGCCGATGGTCTCCAGCACCTGCAGCCAGGTCCCTGCACCAAGCAGTGGGGAGAGGCTGTCTGGGTCCTCCAGCCGTGACCACTGCTGCTGCCGGTCCCACCTCCATCCGTCCCCCACCGTCCATCCCCCAAGCCGAGAGCCTGGATAGTCGGGGGCCTCGTCCCATCTCTGGGCAAGGCACCCATGGCAGCCCAGGGCCAGACCCCGCGAGGAGGCCTGGGCCAAGGCCGACAGCCCGGCCTTCGCTCTCCTGACCCCCCGTCCTGGGCATAGGCGGGAAGGGGCTCAGGTCTCCTGCCTCCCTGGTCTGTCTGAGGCCCTCAGCTGCCCCCAGGCCTGCTCCACCCCCTGGATCCCCTGAGCCCAGGACTCGGGCCTCTCTCACACATGTCCCTCCCTCCGCCCGCTGCCCGCTGCCCGCCCCCAGCTCTCTGTCCACTCCGGCTCAGTGCGGCCAGTCTGGGCCACCTGCCCTCAGTCCCTGCCACTGCTGCTGCGCCCCTCCCTCCAGCCACTCCTGTTGTCTGCTGGGCGCCCTAAGGAGGCTGCGGGCCCTTCAGCCAGATCTGCAAGGTGGGTGCCAGCCCTGCCCCTTCCCGGGGCCTGACCCGCATCTTGGCTGACCACCCAGGAAGGCCCGGGGGCTGTCTGTGTGGGGAGGGGGAATAGCGTGGTCCCAGCGCCCCCTGCCACCCCGGCCCCACGCCGAGCGCCCCGCCTGCGCCGCAGGCCCCTTGGGTCCCTGACCGATGTCCTTGGCCTTGCGTGGCACCAGGCGCCGCTGCAGCCGGACCATCTTGATGGCGTCCAGGCGGATCTCCACGAGGTTGCTGAAGAGCGCGAGCAGCGGGGCCAGCGGGAAGGCAGCCACGAAGATGGTGGTGAAGCCGTACTGGATCACTGGGGGGGGAGGCACCTTGAGCTCCACGCCCCCCCCCCCGCCCCCAGCCCCACCCTGAGCCCCGGCTCCGCCCACGCACTCATTTCCATGAACTCGTCAAACAGGCTGAAGGTGTAGACGGGGTTCAGGCGGTAGTTGAGCTGCCAGTCCCTCAGCTCGGGGTCCCGGGCCTCGCTGCCCCGCATGGAGCGGCACTTGTGGGACAGCCACCTGGGGGACAGGAACCAGGTAGGGGGCAGGGAGCAGTGCCGGGGGTGGAGGGCCCCGGAGCACTGGCTCTGGGCGCTGGGGAGGAGGGTGGGGAGGGGGTGCCCGAGGGAGGAGGGAGGAGGGAGGAGGGGTCCTCACGGGTGCAGGTACTCCATGCAGTTGCTGAGCGTCTGCTTCAGACCCATGATGATGGCCATCTGCACAAACAGGTCCATCATGCAGCCGCTGAGGTGGCACTGTGGGGGCAGGGAAGGTCAGGCGGAGGAGGGGAGCAGTGCAGGGGGAGGTCAGGCGGAGGAGGGGGGCAGGGCAGGCGGGGGAGGGGGCAGGGGCAGGGGGAGGTCAGGTGAGGGAGGGGGGCAGGGCGGGCATCCAGGACAGACTGACCTCCTCCAGCTTCCACAAGCCCGCCAGGCGCACGGTCTTCCCGGGGTGACCGTTGATCCTAGGAGGGACGGGAGGCTGAGCCCAGCACCCTGCCCCCAATGGGGGGCGGGGGGAGGGGAGTGGGGCAGGACAGAGGGGGTGTGGGTGACCAGGGCGACAGTGGAGAGGAAGAGAAGGCAGCTGATCCATGATTCTCTCTCATCATTGATGTTTCTCTCTTTCTCTCCCTCTCCCTTCCTCTCTCTAAGATAAATGAAAACATCCTATATAATAAAAGGCTAATATGCAAATCGTCCCCACGGGCGGTGGAGCAGGTGAGCAGGTGGCGCCAGGACAAGGCAGGTGCGAAGGGAGGCCCCGGCCAGCAGCCACTAGGGGCCCTATCCGTGCATGAATTCTGTGCCCTGGGCTCCTCGTATGTATATATACATATACATGCACACACATATACACATACATGTACACGCACATACATGTACACGCACATACATGTACACATACACACATACATACGAGAGCAGGCGTTCCCAAGGGTAGGCGAGGGGAGGAGCAGGGAGGCGCTCACCTGCCCAGGATGAAGGCGATGTAGACGAGCGAGGAGAAGTGCGCAAAGAACTGCAGCGTGAAGAACTTCACCGTGAACTTGCTCTCTCGCTCCGAGAAGGTCCTGGACTTCTCTGGGAGGACACACGGCTCCCTCACCCGTCCCTCCACGGCGGCCCCACGCCTCCGCCCCTGCTCAGACCCTCAGGGCCTCCTGCCACCCTCAGCTGTCTCCCAGAGCCACTCCCGCCCCTGGGGAGAGGCAGCGAGCCGGCGGGGTCACCCCCACCCCCACCAGGTCCACCTGGCCCGCCTCCAGCAGCCAGGAGGGTGGCTCTCACCGTAGTCACAGAGCTTCAGGGCCACGACCTTGTTGACCTGCGGGTGACACGGAGGGCTCGCTATGGAGGGCTCGCTGTGGGGAGCTCCCTATGGAGGGCTCCCTGTCGAGGGCTCGCTGTGGGGGGCTCGGGCCCCAGCGGAGCCCCCCGCCCCGCCCACGCACCTTGGTCATGACGAGGATGGTGACATAGTGCACCAGGGCCCCGGACACCACCACGGCCGTGGTCACCTGGTCCTCCAGGAAGGGCAGGGCCGAGCTGCTGAAGACGGCGGCGGCCGCGACGCGGTAGACCACCAGCACGTGAGCCATGCCGATCATGAGGCAGATCTGCGGGGGCCGGGGGCTCAGAGGGGTCGCCGCCGGGGCCCCCCGCCCCCAGGCCCCCAGAGTACCATGAGCAGGGACAGGATGAGGATGATGGTGCTCTTCAGGTAGGAGTGCTGGTGCAGCTGCAGCTTGTAGTCCGGGCAGTTAATGAGCTCCAGCGCCACTTCCTCCTGGGGCACCGGGCACGCCTCAGACACGGGCACACGTCTCAGACACGGGCACACGCCTCAGACACGGGCACACGCCTCAGACACGGGCACACGCCTCAGACACGGGCACACGTCTCAGACACGGGCACACGCCTCAGACACGGGGCACCAGACATGCCTCAGACACGGGCACACGCCTCAGACACGGGCACACGCCTCAGACACGGGGCACCAGACATGCCTCAGACACGGGCACATGCCTCAGACACGGGGCACCAGACATGCCTCAGACACGGGCACACGCCTCAGACACAGGCACACGCCTCAGACACGGGCACACGCCTCAGACACGGGCACACACCTCAGACACGGGGCACCAGACATGCCTCAGACACCGGCACACGCCTCAGACACGGGGCACATGCCTCAGACACGGGGCACACGCCTCAGACACGGGCACACGCCTCAGACACAGGGCACCAGACATGCCTCAGACACGGGGCACACGCCTCAGACACGGGCACACGCCTCAGACACGGGCACACGCCTCAGACACAGGGCACCAGACATGCCTCAGACACGGGCACACGCCTCAGACACGGGGCACACGCCTCAGACACGGGCACACGCCTCAGGCATGGGAACCGCCTCCGAGCGAGAACACGCAGCACAGACCGGGCGCGGCCACGGCCGCTGGGAGGGAGCCCTCCCGGCCCCGCTCACCTGGTCCTCGTCCCACCCGTACAGGTCCCAGTCCAGCACGACGCGGGCCCGCTGCCGCTTCCAGAACTCCAGGAACACGGTGGCTGCGCGGAGGAGGGGGTCACCGGCGGCCCTGGGGGGCGGCCCGGCGAGGGGGGCAGAGGCGGCCCTGGGGGGCGGCCCCGGCGAGGGGGGCAGAGGTGGCCCTGGGGGGCGGCCCCGGCGAGGGGGGCAGAGGCGGCCCTGGGGGGCGGCCCCGGCGAGGGGGGCAGAGGGGCCCTGCAAAGTTCGCCCCCCAGGCGCCGGCAGCAACTCACCCCACAGGGCCATGAAGATGGCGAAGATCACCGTGCCCTCATTGTCGAAGAGGTGGGTGAGCTGGAGAGAGGGACACGCGGGCTGGGGCCGCCATCCCCCCCCCCCCGTGGGCGCCCCACACGCAGGGGCAGGAGCAAGCCAGGCGGGCAGGGTGGGCACCAGGCCTGGGGGCCTCCGGGGCAGCGAACCTTGGCAAAGGTGCACGTGTCCGAGAGGCGCTGGTACCGGCGCCGGTGGTCGCCGCGGGGGCACATGTAGATGTCGTGGGCCTCACAGATCTCCTTGCTGGGGGGGCAGGGACCTGGCTGGTCCAGCTCTTCCTGACCCCCTCCCGCCGTTCCCACCCTGTCCTGACCCCACTCCACCCAATCTGTGACCCCGTCCACCCAGTTTAGCCCCGCCCCTCCGCCACCCCCTTCGGGGGGGACCCCACCTGCTCCCCCCACCCCCCATTGCCCCCTCCCTCCCGCCCCACCTGATCTGGCTGGCATTGAACAGCGAGAAGCCGCTCAGGAAGACGATGAGGCCGACCAGTGCGGCGGGGACCAGCATGCAGGTGTACCAGCCGAGCCAGGCGAAGTACAGGGCCACCTTCTCACCAAAGTAGTTCCTACGGCACAGCTGCCGTCAGGCCACCCACCAGGGGTGGCGTCACAGGCCAGTGCCCGGACGGGGTATGGGGGGGGCAAGGAGAGTCTATTGGCAGCACATTTGCTCGGGGTATAGGTGTATCTGTGGGGGTGCAGGTGTTTGTAGGCACATAGGTGTCTCTTTGGGGGTACAGTGTGTCTAAGGGGCACAGGTGGATCTCTGAGGCACAGGTGTGTCTGGGGCACAGGTGTGTCTGGGGCACAAGTGTGTCTGGGACACAGGTGTGTCTGGGGCACAGGTGGGTGCTGGGGACACAGGTGTGTCTGGGGCACAGGTGGGTGCTGGGGCACAGGTGTGTCGGGGGCTGTGTTACCTGATATCGTCGATGGGCTGCTTACGGAACATGTTTCTCCAACGGGCCCATGTCCTCTTCAGGTTCTCCTTCCCCTGCTCAGGTGACTGGGTGAGAGCCCCGCCTCCGGCCCCGCCCTCAGGCCTGGCTCCCAGGCAGCCCCTCACCTTGTGCAGGGGGAACCGGGTCTCAAAGACCCCATCCTTCACCAAATCCTCGAATGTGTCTAAAGGTCACAGGGGCCTCGGGTCAGAGGGGAGGGAGGGGAGGAGGACCTGGCCACATCCTCCCGCCTCAGCACCCCCTGGTGGCCGCTGACCGCAGCCCGCCCCGTCCTCACCGCCAGCTGCCGTCCTGCAGTTGAGGATGAAGTTGACGATCCGGATTCTGAAACACAGGATGACTCCCTGTAACCTCGGACCCGCCCCCACTAGCCAGGTCCAGGCCCCATCCATCCAGGGGGAGGCCCAGCCCGCCTGCCTCACCACCTGGCCGGAGCCCAGACCCGGTCTCCTCTGGGAGCCCGCCCTGACCTCCTTAAATCCTGCCAGGGTGCAGCCACCCGTGGCTCCAGGACGGGGCTCTATCCGGAGTGGTCCCTCTCCTCCGAGGGCCCCAGAAGCCTGGCCTGACCCCCCCTCCAACCGCACTTCCTCCCTGGAGCTCCCACACGTCCGGAGCTCGCCCTACAGCTTTAGTGAGCGAACCCTCTTTCATCCCTGGGCCTTTCTGCCTTTAGGGAGACTGAGGCTCAGAGAGGGTGAGTAACTTGCCCCGGGCCACAACGCTAGGAAGCGGCACAAGGAGCATCTGACTGGAGAGCCACACGCCTCCTGCGCCTTCTCCTATGAGACCTGGTCCCCTGGCTGTCCCAGGGCCCTCGCCCTGGCCTGGTCCTCCCAGACCTCATCAAGGTGCCTCTACTCATTGTCCTCCCCTTGCTCCTCCCCGAGACCCGCCCGGTCCCCTGCGTCCCCAGGAGCCCCTCCATGGCCTCAGATCCACATGCTGGAAGTGCCCTTGGCGAGTCTCCACTCCCACGGCCCAGCTGAGCTCGGAAGGGCCTGGGGTAAGCCGGGCAGGTGATGGAAGAGGGGGGGGACAGGGGACCAGACTGTAGAGCCGGAGGCTCAGCGGGGGGGCAGGTGCTCAGAGCGAGAGCAAGAGTTGGCTCCTGATCCGCCGGCACAGACGGCCGGGACGGTGTGGGGTCTGCCTCTGGGCTCAGAGCCAAAGCGATGGGGGGGCGGCCCTCTCGGCCTCTCCGAATCCTGCCCACCCTGTCTTAATGTTTTTTTAATGTATTTTTATTGATTTCAGAGAGAGGAAGGGAGAAGGAGAGAGAGATAGAAACATCAATGATGACAGAGAATCATGGATCGGCAGCCTCCTGCACGCCCCACACTGGGGGATCAACCCAGGCACGTGCCATGCCCTGACCGGGAAGCAAACCATGACCTCCTGGCTCATAGGTCAATGCTCAACCCCTGAGCCATGCCAGCCGGGCTACTGCCCACCCTTTAAGTTCCATGTGACTTTCAGAATTCGCCAAGAGGTGAGAACTGTCGGCACCCCTTCCACAGGTGTGGAAACTGACCAGAGCCCAGAGGCCACGCCTGGGGGCCTCTCCTGCCGGGACCAGGCGTGTGCGAGGCAGGCGGGGACCCGCCTGGCGGGCGCTGGGCCAGCCGCTCACCTGGTGGTGTCCGGGACGGTGATCGGCCTGGCTGAGTCCACTCTGGGGGCCGGACCCTCGGGCTCCATGAGGAGCGTGCGGTACAGGCTGAAGATCCTGCTGTCCGCTCTGATCCCGAAGAACACCTTCTCCTGGTCCTCCTTCACCTGGGGGTGGGACCAGCGGACTCTCTATCCCCCTCCGGACCCTCCCCCTCCATCCCAACCACTGGTCCAGCCCCTTCACCTCAGGCACAGACCACGGCCGCCCTCCGGCCCCCTCCCCGGGCCCCCCTGGCACCAGGGCCCGCTCCGGGCGGCCCACCTTGTACTGGAAGCCCTTGGCCTGCAACTCCTTCAGGAACTGCCGCTGCCGGTGGACCTGCCTGGGGTCCCTCTGGGTGCGATAATCGGCCACCAGGACGTAGTCCGTCAGGGTCTGGTCGGGGCGATCAGGCTGCAGGAGGGAGGCGTGGGCTGGGCATGGGGAGTGGGACGGAGGGGGCCAAGCCCAGAGGGTCTGAGCAGAGACTCACCTCAGGAGTGACCATGTCCATCAGCGGGTAGCTGTCCCCTGCCGTCCCCACCAGGATCTGGAATCTCTCTTCACCCTGGGGCTGTGGGGTGGGCGTGGGGGGTGGAGGAGAAGGATTGAGCTTGTCCCCACCAAGGGGCTTCAAACATAACGGGGGCGGGGGGGAGCCCTAACCGGTTTGGCTCAGTGGATGGAGCGTCAGCCTGCGGACTGAAGGGTCCCAGGTTCGATTCCGGTCAAGGGCATGTACCTGGGTTGCGGGCATATCCCCAGTAGGAGATGTGCAGGAGGCAGCTGATCGATGTTTCTCTCTCATCGATGTTTCTAACTCTAACGGGGGGAGAAGGGGGGGCAGTAAGCAAACAAGGAGGCCGTCCCTGGGCTGCAGGGCAGGTAACCAGCCAGCAGCAGCTCCTTGGAAAGGTGGCCAGAGGCTCCTGAAGCCCTAGGGACAGACAGACAGACAGCCGTGTAAAACAGGCTGCTGTGCACACGGGGTTTCTGTTTGTTTGGTTTTTGCTAATCCTCACCCGAGGATATGTTTCCGTTGATCTTTTAGGGAGAGTGGAAGGGAGAGGGACAGAGAGACATGTGGGAGAAACATACCCATGGGCTGCCTCTTGCACGCGCCCCGACCATGGCCCAGGCCAAGGGGGAGCCAGCAACCAAGGTCCGTGCCCTTGACTGGAATCGAACCCGGGACCCCTTGGTCCACAAGCCCACGCTCTCTCCACGGAGCCACACCCACTAGGGCGCAAGCAGGGGTTTCACAGCCGTGGAGCGCGCACGGGGGAAGACTCGGGACTCGGGAAATTCGGGAAACCGGCCAGGTGGCCGGAGGTGCCCGCCGCCTGCTACCCCTGCGGTCACAGACGTTTTCAGGGGCCACAGTGCCATCAGCAGGACCCCCGTGCTGCCCGGGAGCACACACTGGTACGCGAATTTGGTAAACAAATTGGACACCCCACAGCCCAGCCCGGCCACGGCTGGAGACAGGGCCAGGGCGCTCACAGCCGCAAACGGCACATGGAAACGGTGGAAATAACGCGCATTCCCTCCGGCGGGTGGCTGGGTGGAGGCCCCGTGGTGTCCCCACCTGGGGCAGATCCTGCCACCGGCACACGAACCGGCCGCTCCTCCCACGAGGCGTGGCGGCCGAACGTGACGTGTGACCGAGTTCCGTGAGACGAAGGCCAGGGGGACCCGCAGGTCCCGGACAGACACACAGACGCTGCATCGGGCCCCAGGGAGGACGCGGATACGTGCAGGCCTCCGATCCTCGATCCTCGGAGCCTCACTACTATTGCGGCCCGGAAGCCGGAGGGGCAGCCTCATCCTCTCCTGCTGTGTGGGCTGCACTCAGTGGCCAATGAGGAGAGTGTGGGCGGCTCAAGGAGTCTCTTTACAGGGGAGAAACCAGGCAGGGGTGCGCTGGGAGTGTGTGGTCCCCTCCCTAAAACCTACAGCCCCGTCTCAGCATGGAAGACATCACAGGGACCTTCTCCAGACCTGAGCCGACCCAACAGGCCAAGGACAGGTGGGACGGGGGCCTCCCAGGCGGAGTGGCCACAGGCCACGTGGGGTCCTTCACTGACCGGGTTTTTTAAAAAATATTTTATTGATTTTTTACAGAGAGGAAGGGAGAGAGAGTTAGAAACATCGATGAGAGAGAAACATCTATCAGCTGCCTCCTGCACACTCCCCACTGGGGATGTGCCCGCAGCCAAGGTACATGCCCTTGACCGGAATCGAACCTGGGACCCTTGAGTCCTGGGACCCTTGAGTCCGCAGGCCGACGCTCTATCTACTGAGCCAAACCGGTTAGGGCAACCTCCTCATTTTTTTTTTTTTAATGTTTTTGTTGATTTCAGAGAGGAAGGGAGAGGGAGAGAGAGATAGAAACATCCATGATGAGAGGGAACCATTGATCGGCTGCCTCCTGCACTTTGGACCGAGCCCGCAACCCAGGCATGTGCCCTTGACCGGAATCAAAGCTGGGACCCTTCGGTTCGCAGGCCGACGCTCTATCCACTGAGCAACACCAGCCAGGGCCTTGCTCCTTTTGACCAGGGCCCAGGCGCGGGCGCTGGCTGAGGGGAAGGGGCTGCTCTGTGTGTATAACTCCTTACAACAGGGGGCCCCGTGCTCAACCCCCAGCAGGAGGAGCGGGAGTGGGCAGGGCACTGAGACGTGACCCAGGGCCCTCGTGGGGAAGCCAGGCGCTGCGGGTGGGGACAAGGTTCTCGGTCAGAGCCGGAGCGGAGGTGCAGGGCGGGGGCCCTGGCCTCGGAGCCCAGAGCCACACGACCTCAGGTGGGATCCCCCACCTGCTCCAGCCCTGGCCGCGACAGCGCCGGCCGCCCCCCCCACCTCCCCAGGGCCTGCTGGCACACGCCCAGCATCCTGCTGCCCCCGCACAGCGCCGAGCACGCCGTGTGGGCACGGGTGACGGGGACCTCAGCCTGCGTCCCGGTGGCAGCTCCCCAGGGAGGAAGGTTTCGGGGGACAATCTAGGGGCTGTGTCCGTCAGAGGACCCGCCTCACGCCAACTGCTGGCAGGTCTGGGCACCCCCTCCCACCATGGCTGCCCTTGGCCCCAGGCTTCTGCCATGGCCCCCCCCCCCCCTGAGGCCCGGCTCACCGCCCTCACACCAGTCGCCCACGGCCGAGACTTGGGTGCTGCGGGTGCCCCACCTGCTAGCCTGTCCCTTCGCCAACCACATTCCTGCCCCGCTCAGGCACGCCCCTTCCAGAAAGCCAAAGCCGGCTGGGCTGCCGGGAGTGCACCGGCCGCCTCGTGCCATTGGAGTTTCAGGTAAACAGTGTGGGTCTAGTGTGTCCCAGTGACTGTTATCAGGGAGACACTTACACTCGGGGTACTCCCTACCCGCCAAGGGTCAGGCTGGGCAGTGCCCTCTGTCGGTCCCTTCCAATCTGGCTCCAGGCCACCAGCAGGACCAGGCACACGGCTGGGCAGAAGGGACCACCACCGAGCCTGGCCGGTGGGCTACATGGAGCACACACGTGTGACACATGCACACGTGTGACACCACTTCCGCCGCACACGGATGCATGTGGGCTTCCCCGCACGACCTCTGAGGGTCACATCCACCCGGGCCCTCCTGACTCAGCCCGGAAAGCACGTGTCATCGTCCAGCGAGGGGACATCCCTGCCCCCACCCTCCCTGAGCAGACGCCCCCTGGCTCCGCCTCTCAGCTTCTGCAGCAGGTCTGTCCCCCGCTCCTCCCTGCCCCCTCCCTCCCTCCTCCCGCAGCCACCCCTCTGCATGGCATTGTCCGTTCCTTCTGTGTGCTGTCCGCCCATGCGTCCCCGACACCCGCAGAAGAAGTGGCCTCCCTGTGTGCAGCCCTCCTGGGCAGCGTGTGGTGTAAGTGGGCACTGGGGTCGGGAGGGGCTGGCACCTGCGGGCAGGGTGGGTAGCCTGGAGCTTGGCCTTGTGGGGCAAGAGGCTGGCAGGAGGCAAAACATGGGAGCAGCTCCTGGGAGAGGGAAGCAGGCTCTGAGGAGAGCATGCAGTTGGTGTCCAGAGACTCCGTACCAGCACCTCCGAAAGTTTGGTACTCAGTACTCCCAGGACTCAGTATTCCCAGAGACTCCATACCAGCACCTCTGAGGATTTGATACTTAGTACTCCCGTGGACTCAGTACCCAGAACCTCTGAGGACTTGGTACTTAGTACTCCCAGGACTCCGTATTCCCAGGACTCAGTACCAGCACCTCTGAGGATTTGGTACTTAGTACTCCCAGGGATCAGTACCCAGCACCTCCAAGGACTTGGTACTTAGTACTCCCAGGGACTCAGTACCCAGCACCTCCGAGGACTTGCAAGTCCTACTCCTAGGGACCTGGCACTCGGCGCCTGTGAGAGTTGGTAGTCACTTCCTGGGGACTTGGTCCTCAGCATCTAGCTTTGCAGAAGCATAAAGAGCAGAAGGGAGTTGCTAGGAGGTGAGGCTGCAGGGTTGGCAGAAGCCAGACCTCGGAGGACTGCTAGGTGCTGGGGATCCTGGACTTGGGCGGGGGCAACAGGGAGCCCTGGGCGGCGTCCGGGCCGGGGAAGCGCGCTTAGATCCAGCTGGGGGCTGGGCAGCTGAGCATGGCTGCTGCGTCTGCACCTGCCCTTCAAAGGGTTAATTCTCTCCCCTTCGCCAAGCCAGGTGCTGCGGCTCCCACCCACCTGAAGCAGCCCCAAGCCCCTCCCCGCCCCCAGGAGGGGCCTGACCAGCACAGAGGGCGGCCAGCAGGGGAGCCTGGTGTCCCCCAGGGATCGGGGCCAAATCCGCCTGCTCTGGGAGGGCCGGGCAGCCCGCGGAGGCGGAGTGAGGCTGCCTCTTGCCCACGCCTGGGAGGGCCCAGGTGGCCCAGGGAGGCTGGTTTCGCTCTCCCTGCCACCCAGGTGCTGCCCGGCCCTGCAGACTCTCCCTGGGCAGAGGGGAGAAAGGATGCCTCCTGACGCCCTCCTGCCCACCTTCCCGCCTCACAGCCCCTGTTCTACCCCCCAAACCAGAATCCATTTGCCCTCAGCCAACCCACCTCTGCCTGGGGCAGGACCCAGGGAGCAGCGGGCTCGGTGGGCTACCCTGGCCCCCCACCCAAGGTCAGCCCACCCAAGGCCAGGGCACCCTCCCCCTCAGGCATAGCTATAGGGCAAAGCTGCCCAGACAAGGGAGGGGGTCCTCCCCCTGCCGCAGGGCCTGTGGGCGGACATGACTGCCCATCTCAGCCCCACTCACTCACTAGGACCCCCCAAGAGTCGCCGGGACCCCAGGAAAGCTCCCTCCTCCTCTCGCCTGAGAATGGCAGTTGCAGCCCAGGCTCAGGGCTCTGTCCGCTTCGCACCCCAGCCTGGGTCCCAGGAGCCCCGGGCCCTCTCCAGGCCAGGCGGGCAGAGAGGCTGCAGGGGCCACAGGTGGGACCCAGCGCAGCCGACTCACCTGCATGCTGGCAGCCCTCGCGGTCAAATCCACCAATGGAGGTGGCTCAGCACCGGAGCCGGTGTAGCCAGGCGGCTCCTACCTGACTTCCGCGTGGGACTCACCTTCCTCCTCCCTCCCCGCCCTCCAGCTGCTGGCAGAGGGGAGGAGCCAGCGCAGGGGTGAAGGGCACACCTCCCAGGGCCTGCACCCGCACCTGCAGAGGTTTCCCCTGGAAGATGGGATCAGATGGACACGCGCTCCCTGGGGGCATGGGGATGGGGGTGGGGCACACGAGCGCTCCCCAGCGCCCCAGCTCCCCTGCTCCCCTCACTCTTCCTGAGTCCAGGACTCACCTTTCCCAGGTCCCCTCCAGCACCCAGTCCGCACCTCCCAAGTCCAGAGTGGATTTCCTCAGAGGAGAGACGGCTCAGAGGATGGAGGGGGAGGCAGAGGCCACCTCTTCTGCCCGGAGCCCCTGCTTTGCGATGCCAGGCTCTGAGGGCTGAGGGCACAGAGAGGCGCAGCTGGCGGGGGCAGGAGCACCAGTGCTGCTGGAGGGCGGCCCTGTGCAGCAGCCCTGTGTGCACACCCAAGGGTGACATGTTCGCTGTGGGTTCCCCGGGGATGACACATTCTGCTTGGGGGGCCCACGGTGGGCTGTGACGGGTGTGCCGGAAACCCCACGTAGTGGCCGAGAGAAGCATCTGCAGGCGGCCAGACCAGGACTCGTTATTATTTTTAAAATATTTTTATTGATTTTAGAGAGAGAGGAAGAGGGAGGGAGAGAGAGAAACATCAATGAGAGAGAAGGATCGATCCGCTGCTTCCTGCACGCTGACCACTAGGGATCGAGCCAGAAACCGGGAGGGAGGTTGCAGCCCAGGCTCGGGGCTCTGTCAGCTTTGGCCCCCGGCCTGGGTCCCAGGAACCCCCTGGGCAGAACCACAAGGCAGGGGGCCAGTCCCTCCAAGGCAGCATGGCCCCTGCCACCTGGCCGTTGGCAACCTTCACCCGGCTCGGTCTTGGGCCAAGAGCTTCGGCGGAGGCCCACGGGAGCCTCCTGCTCTTCCCCGTGGACCCTGGACCCTGGACCCTGCCCTTCCTCCTCCGACTCCACAGAGCCTGGCCCCGCTGTCTTCTTCCCTCTGAGGACCGGGGCAGCCGGGGGCAGGGCCCCTCCCCACCTGCTCCGACCCCTTTCACTGGGGGCCCCCCAAGAGGAGGTCCAGGAGACAGAGCCTCTAGGAGGGCCCAGGTGGGATGCCCCGGCAGGAGCAAGCACCCCTGTCCTCCGACCCCAATGGCCGCATGTGGCCCAGATCCTCGGAGGTCTCACCCAGGATGCTTCTCGGAGGCAGCACAGGGCCAGCTGGCGGCCGGCTTCCTGCATCCCCTCTGGGCTGGTCCCGGCCCCATCCCGCCCCTGTGGCTGCAGCCGCTGCAGGGGAGGCCCTCGCCCAGGCTGGGCCTCGGCTGCCAGGTCTGCAGGAGCTGGCATCGGGGTCCCTGATGTCCTCACATAAGGCACCTGCTCTCCCTCCACCACATTCCCACCAGTTCCTGTTTCTGTCTCGCGAACAGGAGCTGTCTTGGCTGATGGACAGCCCTGCAGTCCCCAGTCTCCGCATCCACCTGCAGGGAAGGCCCGGGCGGCAGGTGTGCATGTGGGGGACAGTGTTTTGTAACCCACGCACCTTGACAGACTTGTCCCCCGGCAGGAAACGGCGGTCACTGTTCCCTACAAATCCGCAGGTTTCTCTCCCAGATTTTAAGAAAGCATCTCCGCCAATGGTTTCACTCTTAACCACCAGGAATGTGTCTGTCCCGCAGGCCTAGGGAAGCCTGGGGTCTGCGGCCAGGCCATGTCCACCTGAGCTTCGTCCGGCTACCCCTGAGTGAGGCCAGATGGACACCTTCAAAGCCCGCGCCCGCCCTGGCCCCTGGGGCTGCTGGCGGGCAGCCCATCCCTGCTGCCGAGGAAGGTCAGGGCCTCGGCACCCCCGCCCCCTGCGGGGACCCTGAGCCCCGCGATGGACCGCGTCCTCACAGCACCCTGCCAGCTCCTCTCAGGGCTGCCCGCCACCTGAGCCAGAAACCGCCACCCCCTCCGCGCTGGGCTCCAAATCCTGCAGCGGCTCTGCCGCCCCGCGTGTCCGTGTCCGTGTCCGAAGGGGAGGGACAAGCAGGGCTGCAACCTGGTGAAGGGTGGCGGTCAGGACAGGGAGCGGGCGCAGGCGAGACCCGGACAGGCCCAGGTGCAAAGCTCCCGGTGGAGGGCTCACTGTGGGGTGCGGGCTCCCGGGTGGCGGGGGGAGAAGGAGCTGGGCGCGGGGGTCACCCACCTTCTTGTGCTTGAGCGTCTCGGCCTCTAAACCAGAGATGAAACTAGAACCCGAGGGGTGTAAGGATCATAACAGCCGGCATTTCTAAACCCTCGGGAGCTCCGGTTGGCAAGAGGCCAGGGCTCAAAGGCGACTAACAAACCAGCGATCCGCGCGGGGCAGAGGGCGCCCCGGGCTCGCCCTCCCGCCCGCGCCGGCCCCGTTCAGGCCCCGCCCCGCCCACTACAGCCCCATAGGCCCCGCCCACTCCCCGCCCACGCCCGGTCCCATAGGCCCCGCTCCGTCCCGCCCACGCCCGGTCCCATAGGCCCCGCTCCGTCCCGCCCACGCCAGCCCCATAGGCCCCGCTCCGTCCCGCCCACGCCAGCCCCATAGGCCCCGCTCCGTCCCGCCCACGCCAGCCCCATAGGCCCCGCCCACTCCCCGCCCACGCCAGCCCCATAGGCCCCGCTCCGTCCCGCCCACGCCAGCCCCATAGGCCCCGCTCAGGCCACGCCCACGCCTTGACCCATAGGCCCCGCCCCCACGTCCCGCCCACTCCAGCCCCATAGGCCCCGCCCCGTCCCGCCCACACCGGCCCCGCCCGGACCGGGACGACTGGACTGGAACCCCAGGCGCGCTGCGCCTCTGCGTTCTGGAGCGGCCGCGGGCGGAGGGCTTCGGGTGCAGTTTGGACACAGACTCATTCCCAGGAATGGACCCCAACGCGGCGAAACGATGCCCGGACACTAAGCGCCACCAGCTGGGGTGGGGGAGGAGGGGTCCTGCAGGATGGCCTCAGGCCCTGGGGCGCTTTAGCTGGAAAGGCGGGTGGAGGAGCCGGCTCGCTCTGGGCACTCCCTGCTCTAGAGTCCAGTGTCACTTCCCTGGGCAAAGTGGGTCCCCAGGCGTCTGCTTGTTCAAGGCCAGTCGGTGCCCTGGGAACTGCTTGTCCTGGTTGCCCCCAGGGCAGGCGGTGACGCCAGCTTCACCGGTTCCCTGTGGCCGGCAGGGTGGAGACCAAAGTCCGGCCTGTCTGGCCTCTCCGGCCTCACCGCCACTCACTGGCGCACGAACTCGAGATTGGCCACGCGGGCTGCGGGGCCACCCTGGCCACGCTAGGAAGGCGCTGAAGCCTGGCGCAGGGAACGGGCCCAAGGGCAGGCAGAGGGCAGCAGCGCCCGGGAGGCCCCAGGGCACACCCACCCGAACCAGGGTTTCCTGGCAGCCTGTTGGTCCCACCCTATTGGGAGGTTCCACATAGGGGTCAGGGGCTGAGACTCAGGGTCCCATCACAACCAGACCCCTTGCTTGGCAGGCCTGGCTGTGTGCGGGGGGGGGGGGGGGGGGGGGGGGGGGTGTCGCCCCCACAAACATGGTTTTCGGGTATATTTTAACAGCTCTATTGATCTATAAATCACACACCATACAACCCACCCATTTAGAGTGTACAGTTTATTAGTTTGTTTTTAAAAAATATTTTTATTGATTTTTTTAGAGAGAGAGGAAGGAAGAGGGAGAGAAACATGGATGTGAGATATGAGATAGATCGACTGCCTCCTGCACCCTCCCCCGCTCCTACTGGGGATAGCGCCCACAACTTGGGCATGTGCCCTGACCCGGAATCGAACTGGCAACCTTTTGGTGCACGGGGACACCGCCCAACCACTTCATTCGTTTTTACTAATAGTGTCGTCACAGATATGTGCCACCATCAACACAGTCCGTTTTAGAACAATCTCATGGCCTGGAAAAGGAACCCAGGACCCTTGAGCAGTCACTCCCCGGGCCCCTGGTGACCATGGATCTACTTTCTGTCTTCACAGGTCTGCGTATTCTGGACATCTCATGTAAGCAGATCATATAAAATGTAGTCTCTTGCCCTGACTGGTTTGGCTCAGTGGATGGAGCGTCAGCCTGCGGACTGAAAGGTCCCAGGTTCGATTCCAGTCAAGGGCATGTACCTGGGTTGCGGGCATATCCCCAGTAGTAGGTGTGCAGGAGGCAGCTGATCGATGTTTCTCTCTCATCGATGTTTCTAACTCTCTATCCCTCTCCCTTCCTCTCTGTAAAAAATCAATAAAATATATTTTAAAAAATGTAGTCTCTTGTGACTGGCTTCTTCTTCTACTGAGCATAAATGTTTCCAAGGTTCGCCCTTGTTGCAGCATGTGTCACAACTGCATTCCTTCTGACGGCCCAGCGATTTCCCTTTGTGTGGAGACACAGTGTGTGTATCCACTTGTCAGTTGATGGACATTACCTGCTCCCCGCTTTTGGCTATTATGAACAGCTAGAGGCCCGGTGCACGAAATTTGTGCACGGTTAGGGTCCCTAGGCCTGGCCAGCGATCAGGGCTGATCGGGCCCTTCCTTTGTTCTGCGCCGGCCCCTGGTGGTCAGCCCACGTCATATCGAGTGGTCGAACTCCCGGTCGGTCAAATTCCCAAGGGGACAATTTGCCTATTAGCCTCTTATTATATAGGACGCTGCTGTGAAAATTAATATAAGAAACCTCCTTTAAATGGAGTCCGGAGGCCTGAAGGGGGAGCCCCACACGTAATTCCAGGTCAATTACACCCCAACGGGAAGAATGTCAGTTCCAGACTCAACAGGAAAAGACACCCTGCACTCCCAGCAAGATGTGTCCCTGCCACCCAGCGGGCGGAAGGAAGAATTTCTCCTCGCCCATCAAGCCCAGCCAATGGGAACCATGGCAACTTGGCCAAGGAGCGCCACCACAGGCCGACTCACTTCCCTCCAATGGGCTTTCGCTCACAGCTGCCTTTCTCTCTATAGGTGACCTTCCTCTCCCCTGCCTGCCGGACTTGCCCATGATTTCTGCTGTAGCATGTTTGTCCCGAATTGCAATCCTCTGCGGTTCCTGAATGAATCCACTTTTCTAGTAAATAACTGGCTGTTTTAATTTCATTTTTTTAAAAAATATATTTTTATTGATTTCAGAGAGGAAGGGAGAGAGAGAAACATCAGCGATGAGAGAGAATCATTGATCGGCTGCTCCTTCATGCCCCACCCAGGGGATCGAGCCCACAACCCAGGCATGTGCCCTGACCAGGAACCCAAACGAGATCTCCTGGTTCATAGGTCAACGCTCAACCTCTGAGCCACGCCAGTGGGCCTGGCTGTTTTATTTTGTAAAATAACTGTTTGTGAACGTCTAGGTATAAGTTTTGTGAGCACATTTTCACTCCTCTTGGGTATACCTAGGAGGGGAATCGCTGGTCACATGGTAACTGTGTTTAACTGAGTTGTTGTCAGACTGTTTCTCAGAGTGGCTCAGGGCTACAGGTTTTTGCGGGGGGCCGGTCTATATCAACACATTGAGTCACCCCAAATCAGCACGTCCCCACTATTCTAACGGGCCCATTTCACTAGGTCCTGCAGGCTAGAGTCCGGAGATCCTGGCAGCTCTGGTCCCTCGGAGCTGGGGCCGGGCGTCCGCCAGGACGGCGCTCCAGGAAAGCGCGGGCGGGGCTCGGGGGCCGGCTCCGGTCAGGCCGCCCCAGTACCAGGCGGCTCTCGGCTAGCCACTGGCGGTTACCTAGCAACCGGGCGGCATCCTTCCCAGCAAGCACCGCTCCTAACCCTTGAGGTCGGAGACTACGAGGCCCAGCATGCCCCGCGGCCCAGAAGTGCGGACTACACGTCCCACAATGCGCCGCCTACCCTTGCCTAGCCGCCCCCAGCCCCTGCTCTCCGGAGACCCCGCCGGCGATCGCCTCGACCCCTTCCCGGCGCTCCGTGCGCCGTGCGCGGCGCTCTCGCTCTCGCGGTGACCCGGTGAGCGTGAGGTCAAGGTGCGGGGAGGAGCGGCTCGGGGCCGAGGCGCCATGCGGAGGGGCGAGCGCCGGGGCGCCGGGGCGCCGCGGCCGGGGTCCCCTGTGCCCGCGGGCAAGGCCGCGCTGGAGGAGCCGCCGGATAGCCCGCCCGCCGGCCGCCGCAGCACCGAGTCCGAGGTCTACGACGACGGCACCAACACCTTCTTCTGGTGAGTGGCGGCGGCCGGGGGTCCGGCCGGGGTCGCGGGGGCGTGGCCACGTCGTTGGGCTCGAGGTGCCGGGGGCTCGGGGCCCGGCCCCGCGGCTGCCCGGTGGTCCCAGCGTCTCCGCTTCCCTCCCCCGAACCGCCGAGGACGTGGCTCAGCCTCACCTGAGACCGGCTTTTCCTGACCTCCCGGTGCAGAGTCCGCCCTGCCCTCGTCGCGTCCCTTCCCGGCGCTCCCGCCCGCCGCTCGGGCGCCTGCCCGGCCCGGGCTCCGGGGGCGCGCGTCCCAGCCCCGCCTCGGGTCGGGCTGCCCCGGGCTGCGGTGGGGGTCACGGGGGGCAGCGCCTGGGTGGGGAGGGCGCACGTGGCGTGGCACTCGTGTGCCGGGGGGGGGGGGGGCGGTGGCCGGCAGGTCCCAGGGGTGCGCCTCTGCCGATGGCTCTGACCTTGGTCTAACCCTTCACCTTCCCGAGCTCTCTTTGCTCCCTGGCGAGAGAGAGCGCCCAGGCCACACGCTGGGAAGCGCGCGGCTGCTCTTCTTTGCTGGGTGCCTGGCCTGTGAGCCGGGGGTGGAGCTGTGGCCTCTCGCCCCCGAAAGCGCAGGGAGAGGCAGCGCTGGCACCCGGGAGCGAGGAGAGCCGCTGGCGGGGCGGCCACCCAGGGGCAGCCTCAGGAGAGGTGTGTGTGTGTGGGGGGGGGGGGGGGTCCTGCTTTGTGTGAGACTCAGGGGAGATGCATGGAGGCCGGTGTTGGGGCGTCTCTCCTGTGGGTGCCAGCAGCCGTTATCTGCGGGGAGAGAACATGCTGGGATGGGGTGGGGGGCCAGTGGGAGGGAGCCCGGGATGGGGTGTCTTGTCCACAGGGTGTGGCCAAGAGCTGCTGGGTCCTGCCGGACCTGCCGCCCTGTCAGCTGCAGGGGGAGGGCACCACCTTCTCGGACCAGCTGTGACCCCGGAACAGGCTCTGGAGCGCCTGGCTGGGCCCCTCCTGGGTGCCAGTGACGGTTCTGGAACTAAGCTGGCAGCTTCGGGCACCAGCCTGGGGCTGGTGAGGCAAGAGCCTGTCCCCGTCCAGCAGAGGCCGGGAGCCCACCCTCACGTGGAGCCCCGAGCACCGTCCCCAGGGGCGCGTGGCCCGTCGGAAGTGGGGCACCGGGACTGGAGCTGAAACGGAGCCTGCCTGTGGGCAGGGCGATGGGCCAGGGAGGCTCTCTAGAAGGGGTGCCCCAGGGCAGGCTGGTTTCGGGGACCTGCCTTGCGGGTGGGGAGGGTGGTCCTGGCTCCCCACGGCAGGTGTGAGGAGCACTGTGCTCTGGCGCGGAGGGGGGGGGGGCAGGTCTGTGTGCAGCTTCTGGCTGCATCTGGGGCCTCGCCTTCCCGGTGCGGCCCCCAGCGCCTGCCTGGCAGCCCTTTCCCCGCAGAGCTTAGCATGTGACCGCGAGTTTCCCCTCGCTGACTTGTGCTCGGATTTTAAAAACTCGCACTTCATTCGAGGATTTTAATAGTGAGTGTTACAAGAAGTTAACTAATGAAAGTCTGTGTTAGTGGAAATGACTGGATGCCCGCCTCACTCCGGGACACTGTGGTTCAGAATCTTGCTTTAAGGCTTCCTTTTCGAAGAAGGTGGCTTCTTTGGGGCCCATGATGATGGCGTGGAGGCCACGTATGAGGATTTGGGGTTTCTCTGTTACTGCTTATCAGCCACGGGGTGTGGGCTCCCCTAAACTGAGTCCCTGGCAGGGGGTGTGAGGACCACAGGGTTCCCAGGTGGCAAGGACCCTGCTTCTTCTGCTAATCGTGGTCTCAGGTGGGAGCATCCAGCGGCCACAGACACAGGAGCCGTGTTTGGGAGCCGCCCTGAGGGGTGCCGGTGACGCGCCCCCTGCAGGTTGCAGGCAGAGGGTTGTATTTGCTTCCTGACCCCTGGGAGATGTTGGGAGCGCCTGCCCCCTCACTGCCCTGCGGGAGCACAGGAGCCGGCAGGGTGTGGGGTGCTGGAGGCGCCGGGGTACCGGAGCGCACCTTTCTCAGTTATGCGGGTGAGGGGTTTGCCGGCTTTGCCCACATCTGGGAAGCTTGACTCCCCAGCTTTTGCCTGTTGGGGGCGGTCGGTGTCACAGCCCCTTGCCCCTTGCACATCTGGCCAGGCCTCGGCTCCGCCCCGGCTGAGGCGTTGTGCACGTGCCCGGCCGCACCCCGTGTTTCCTCCAGCAGGGCTGGCAGGCTGCCTCCCGCCCGCTGGGCACAGTGAGGGGTGACTGAGAGCGGTATTTTCCACCCTTGGGGCAGAGAGCCAGCTGTCCTCACACCCTCACCCTCGCTGAGCGACAGAAGTCACCGGGCTTACAGCCGCTGTCGTCCGGGCCTGGTCACAGGGCCCAAACCTTCCCGAGGGGCCGTTAGCCACCAGGGTGCTAGAGCAGAGGGTGCACGCTTGGCCCCGGCCCCGGCAGGGGGTGGGGGGTCTGCCTGCAGAATCTCCCCCCATCCCCCCCACTCCCACAGGAGTGGAAATGGGCCGAGTGCAAGGCAAGGAGCACTGTTGGCCGCCACTGGAGGTCGGTGAGCACTGGCCCGGAGGGGTCCTGCTCCTTCCCGCCCGGTCTCTGGGGATGCTCCTCGAAGGCCTGCGGACCGTCCTGCTGGCCTGCGCCCTGACCTGGCGCCCACCGGTGGTCTCGTGGCTTCTGGAGTGTTTCATCCCTTAAGTGGCCGTACAGTGACACCGACTCCAGGGCGTGCAGCTCCCTGAGCTTTCGCACACGGGGCTCCTGTAACCACCTCACCTGGAGGTGCGAGCCCGCCCTCCCCCACGTGCCAGGCCTGCTCTCCTCCCCCGCGACCCGGCGGCTGGCGCACCTTCGCCCCTGCGGAGCGGCACCTGTGGCCGCCTCTGCTAGTCGGGGTCTGTCCTCCCGTCCTTCTGCGTGGTTCTGACACCTCGCACCCAGGCGGCCGCTCTTCCCGTCCCCTTGCCGTCCTGCCTTCTTGGCTGTGTCCCGCCTCAGCCACCTTGTTCTAATTTTCTTCTTTAAAATATGAGTTTTTATTTTTAGAGAAAGAGGAAGGGAGAGGGAGAGGGAGATAGAAACATCGATAAGAAACATCGATTGGCTGCCTCCTGCACACCCTCGACTGGGGATGGAGCCTGCAACCCAGGCCTGTCCTTTGACCAGAATAGAACCATGGCCTCCTGGTTCATAGCCGACACCAACCACTGAGCCACACTTGCCGGGCACCGTGTTCTTATTTTCTGCCCGGTGATTGGAGTGTTGCCCTAGGGCTTCAGTGAAAGCCCCTGAGCCCTCCCCTTGCACCCGCACCCGCACGAGGCGCGGGCTCCAGCGCTGGCTTTCAGGGCCGCCGCAGCGCTCTCCCTGGTCCTGAGACGGTTGACTGGTTCCTCAGGAGTCGGGGCCTCATCCTGCTGGCCCTTGAGGAGCTGCCCGTCAGCTGTCTGCTCTCTTCCGGGCCCTGCTTGAGGCCCATCATTTTATTAAAAAACGTCTCTGACCTGGAGAGGCTGACTGCCGCCCTGCTCTCTTCACGAGCCGTGTTTGGTGCCTGCTTCTCTGTGCTGCTGCGGCGAGAATGTGTTTCAGGAGCCGCGTGTGCGAGAGCCCAGGGAGCTGCACGCCCTGGAGTCGGTGTCAGCGTACGGTCCCTGACCGGATAAGACACTCCCGAAGCCACGAGACCACCGGTGGCCGCAGGTCGGGGCGCAGGGGCCCAGTGCCGGTGTTGCTGGGACAGCCCGCGCTTCGGAGATGCCCGCGCGTGACCTTGGCCAGTGCTCGCTGGCTTGGTCTCCTCGCCTGTGACACAGACAGTGACGCTCTGGTCCCCCCGGTCCGAGTTGTAGCAAAGATTCCCAATGAGCTGTGCAAACAAGAACCCACGGAGAGTCCACTTCGCGTGAATTTCTGGTGTCCTTTCCTCGTTCCTGGTGCCGGCGCCTCCTGGTGTTCCTCCCCCCTCTGCCGAGGCCTCCGAGCAGTTCCCGTAGAGCAGGGTGCCAGGGAGCAGGGTGCCGGGGAGCAGTTCCCATAGAGCAGGGTGCCGGGGAGCAGTTCCCGTAGAGCAGGGTGCCGGGGAGCAGGGTGCCGGGGAGCAGTTCCCATAGAGCAGGGTGCCGGGGAGCAGTTCCCATAGAGCAGGGTGCCGGGGAGCAGTTCCCATAGAGCAGGGTGCCGGGGAGCAGGGTGCCGGGGAGCAGTTCCCATAGAGCAGGGTGCCGGGGAGCAGGGTGCCGGGGAGCAGGGTGCCGGGGAGCAGGGTGCGGGGAGCAGTTCCCATAGAGCAGGGTGCCGGGGAGCAGGGTGCAGGGAGCAGTTCCCGTAGAGCAGGGTGCCAGGGAGCAGGGTGCCGGGGAGCAGGGTGCCGGGGAGCAGTTCCCGTAGAGCAGGGTGCCGGGGAGCAGGGTGCCGGGGAGCAGTTCCCATAGAGCAGGGTGCCGGGGAGCAGGGTGCCGGGGAGCAGGGTGCCGGGGAGCAGTTCCCATAGAGCAGGGTGCCGGGGAGCAGGGTGCCGGGGAGCAGGGTGCCGGGGAGCAGGGTGCCGGGGAGCAGTTCCCATAGAGCAGGGTGCCGGGGAGCAGTTCCCATAGAGCAGGGTGCCGGGGAGCAGTTCCTGTAGAGCAGGGTGCGGGGAGCAGTTCCCATAGAGCAGGGTGCCGGGGAGCAGTTCCTGTAGAGCAGGGTGCCGGGGAGCAGTTCCCGTAGAGCAAGGTGCCGGGGAGCAGGGTGCCGGGGAGCAGTTCCCGTAGAGCAGGGTGCCGGGGAGCAGGGTGCCGGGGAGCAGTTCCCGTAGAGCAGGGTGCCGGGGAGCAGTTCCCGTAGAGCAGGGTGCCGGGGAGCAGTTCCCATAGAGCAGGGTGCTGGGAGCAGTTCCCAGGGAGCAGGATGCCGGGGAGCAGGGTGCCGGGGAGCAGGATGCCGGGGAGCAGGGTGCCGGGGAGCAGGGTGCCGGGAGCAGGGTGCCGGGGAGCAGGGTGATGGGGAGCAGGGTGATGGGGAACAGGGTGATGGGGAGCAGGGTGATGGGGAGCAGGGTGCTGGGAGCAGGGTGATGGGGAGCAGGGTGCCGGGGAGCAGGGTGATGGGAAGCAGGGTGCTGGGAGCAGGGTGCTGAGAGCAGGGTGCTGGGAAGCAGGGTGCTGGGTTGTCCTGCGGGGTCCCCCCTGGAGAGCCTTTTGTTCTGGGGGGGTACTCGCTGGGTACGGACGCCTCCCAAGTCGGTAGCATCTCCTGGAAATGGAGACACTGAGACTCCGGGTCCCGTCGTCTCTGCAGGGACCCCTGCTCGTTGGGGCCTGGGAGCTGGGCTGTGACGCCCTTCGCAGAGGGCCCAGGCCAGTGTCTGACGCAGCCACTGCGGTCCTCCCAGGTCGGCTCTGGGTGCCTGCGGCCCGCTTCCGGGCAAGCCGCCTGTCCTCCCACATCAGGCCGAGGGCCGGGCCGTGCCCACGCCTCCCTCAGTGCCTCGCAGCTCTCCCGAGTGAAGGCTCCGTGAGGGCCCTGCTGTCCCTCACCCCTTCCCTTTCTTGTTTCTTGGGCTGGGTCCTGGGAACCTCAGATGTCATTGCATGGCTCGCGAGGCTGGCCATGACAGCTGCCCGCCCGCGCACAGCACGCACGGCTCCCGCAGTCCTCTGAGTGCAGCCCTAACCTCAGCGCTCCCGTGTGCCGGGTGCTCCTCGCCCCGAGTGCGGGGTCCCCCACTAGGGCGCTCAGCCCTGTTTTCTGAGCGGAGGGTGCGTGTCTCGCATGAGGCCTGACGCCGCGGTGTTTGGTTTCAGGCGCGCGCACACCCTGACCGTGCTCTTCATCCTCACCTGCGTGCTGGGCTACGTGACTCTGCTGGAGGAGACGCCTCAGGACACGGCCTACAACACCAAGAGGTAACCAGGCCCCGCGGCCTGGGGGACGGGACGGAGGGAGGAGGCCAGCAGGGGGCTCGGGCAGCAGGTGTGGCAGAGCCTTGAGGCCTGGCAGTGCCAGGGACCGCGGTCAGCTGGGGGGATGGGCTGTAAACCCTCCCGGGGGCCAGCCCTTGCTTCTGTAGCGTGAGCGCTAAACACCTGCCGGGGAGTGGTGTGCGCCGCTGTGTGCTCTGCAGGTGTCAGCGGCCCGTTCAGAGGCCAGGTGGCTCCTGTCAGCTGTGTCCTGGGCCTGCTGTTGGAGGACTGGAGAGCCACCTGCAGCGAGCCCCGTCTGCCAGCTGTCTCCCAGGTAGCAGTGGCTGCCAGGGGTCTGGCCTCAGGGCTGTGCTCCCTCCAGGAGCCCCTGTCTTGTCCTCCCCTGTCATGCTGGCTCCACCGTGGGGTTTCTGCCCCCTCTCCCACGCCATCTCCCGGTCAGCGCTGGGCATCAGCCCGGCAGTCCGCACCTCTCCCCGGTTCTGCCTCCTGCTGCTGGGCCCTGCTCTGGCCCCGGCCCCTGATTGCACTCAGGCTCGTGGCGGGCCGGCCCTGGGCAGTGGGTCCAGCGTGGAGGAGGGAGTGGGGCTGTGCCTGGGGCCCTGGGGCAGCCCGGGGCTGTGCTCTGTGCAGCAGGGCCCGTGGGAGGACACTGGACCGGTGGCTACGGAGACACTGAGGCTGTTGGCAGGAGCCCATGTTTTCCTAGAGGGGATTTCTAAGTAGAACTTGATCTTTTCTGTGAGTTTGTCTGGCTGGATTTGTTGACTTAAAAAAATAAATTATTTGACCAGAAAAAAATGGGTTTATTCGAGAACAGCAAAGAATTACAATTAGGGACGAGCAAGTTCTAGCAAGTGGAACAAACAGAGGAGAGGGCGTTCTTTGAGGGAGAAAAGGACAGAGTTCTTAGGGAAGGTCTGTGGAGGGCGGGAGGCTGAGGGTGGGGACGGTGTCTCCCTGAGTCCTGGGCAGCAGTTTCTTGGGCATCGTTTCTGTTGGGGCTGTAACTGGTGATCCTTCCTCTGGAGCCTTCCCGGGGTCTGTGAGGGCGCCCCCCTCTGGCGAGACCCCCTCTGGCGAGACTCTGCGCCAGCCAGGTTTCCTTTAGGCGTCTCGCTGTGTGGAGGGTCCGGCACAGCTGGGCAGGGAGGCCAGGGCAGGACGTGGCCACACTGAAGAGGTGCCATACGCTGTGAAATTGGGGCAGAGATGAGCAGTTCCGATGTCACCGGGCAAGTACTGTGGCAGAAAGCAGGTGGCCCCGTGCGGAGTGGCCCCGTGCGGAGTGGCCTGGGTCGCCTTCCGGGGCCGGGACTGGGCCTCCCCAGCAGGTGGCAGCACCTGGTCTGGGCTGTGCCAGCGCCCTGGGGTCCCTGTCAGAGCTCTGCTGCCCTCGCAGGTTCCACACACGGGTCCTGCTTACGTTCAGACGTTGGCACTGAACACCTTAGGGAGCTGTTCTCAAGCTCTCCGTTCCAGCTTGTGTGCACCATCGTCTTGTTTTGGGGCTTAACAGGCTCTGTCCCTTTGGGGGAATAGGTTTAATTTTCTTCGTAAGTCACTTTATTGGTGTATAATTTTTTTTTAAATATATTTTATTGATTTTTTACAGAGAGGAAGGGAGAGAGATAGAGAGTTAGAAACATCGATGAGAGAGAAACATCGATCATCTGCCTCCTGCACACCTCCCACTGGGGATACGCCCGCAACCCAGGTACATGCCCTTGACCGGAATCGAACCCGGGACCTTTCAGTCGGCAGGCCGACGCTCCATCCACTGAGCCAAACCGGTTTCGGCTATTGGTGTATAATTTAACATACACCGGCCTCAGGCAGCCCCCCGGTCAGCCAGGCCTCTTGCCCACGGAACAGCTCCGAGGGGGCGTCGCTCAGTGAGCACCGTGTGCTGCTGCCCCGCACGGTGGTTTGTGACATCGCAGGGCGCCGCTCTGGCCCGGTTCGCGGTGGGAGTGCCTGCCGGCACCGCACACGTGAGTGGCCCGCTTATCTGTTGGTGGCGTGGGGACGTTTACCTAGTGGCATCAGTGCACAGATGGTCCTGTGGAGACCGGGAGAGACCAGCCACAGAGCTCAGAAATGTTTGCAGAACACACCTGAGAAGGGACTTGTTTCCACAATATGCAAACTCTTAAAACCCCACCACAGGAAACAGCACACAGTTAGAGGGAGGGCTGGCTGGCGGGCTCAGTGGTTAGAGGGTTGGCCTGTGCATGAAGAGTCTTGGGTTCGATTCCCAGTCAAGGGCATATGCCTGGGTTGTAGGTTCGTTCCCCAGCCCCCAGTCAAGTACATGCAGGAGGCAACCAATCGATGTGTCTCTCTCACCTAAATCAGTGATTCTCTCTCTCTTCCTCTCCCCCCCTCCCTCCCTCCCTCCCGCTCTCTCTAAAAATCAATGGGGAAAAAAATATCCTCAGGTGAGGATTAACAAACAAAAAGACTAGTTACTAGCAGAAGAGTCTGGTTTCAGTAAGTGCGGCCTGTTCTTTGCAGGAGCAGCAGGGGTAGTAATGACCGCTGAGCGCAGTCTCGGTGGACTGTCCCTCCAGACTGAGCTTGACCTCGAGGCCAGAAAAGCCAAGGCCAGGACTCGCGTCAGGCTCCCTGCGGTGCCTGGAGGTTTGCGTGAGTTCCTGTCTCCTCTGGGCCTTTATGTCCGGGGAAGAGAGAACCAGCCGTGTTTCAGACAGAAAGTCACAGAAACTGCGTCACCCTTCACCATCCGTCCGTGTGGAGACTCGGCTGGGCCCGGGCTCCGGACCCCGTGGCCTGGCTGCTGGTCGAGATGATGGGGGCGGGCTGATTCCGGGAGGTGTGCCGGCGCCCCGTGACCACCGGAGGCTGTGGGAGGCGCGCCTCACGTGGAAACGCGTTTCCACCGCCCCGGGCACCGTGAGACCTCAGCCCCCAGCACGGTGCACGCAGCAGCACCTGACCCGGCGAAGGGAGGCAGACGCCGGGAGTGGGCGGCCAGGGCGCCCGTAGCCGACGCCGCTCAGTTCACAGCCGTGGTCACCCACCCTCCTTGCCCTGACTTAGGAGCAGACGGTGGCCGTGCACAGGGCGCTGGGTGTGGGAGGAAGGGCCTCCCTGCGGGAGCAGCACGGCCGCCTTTGCGTTTTGTGGCTGAACCTTTGCGTTTGAGACGCAGGCGAGCTCCTGCCCTGGAGAGCGGTGCTCTCACGGAACCAGGGCCACGGCCACGTAAGCACAGCGCACTCCGGCCCACCCCACGCTCTGCTCCCGGCAGGGCGCGCTCAGGGCCTCCTGCGGAGACCAGGGGAGCTGTGCTGCCAGACACAGACGCCGACTCCGACCCCGAGGCCGAGGCGCACCCACGGCGCGGGGAGAGCTGTCCAAAGCGCCTCCGTCCGCTCAGGCCCAGCGTGGCCGCACAGAAACCCTCTCCCCAGGCAGTCCCCTCCCCACACTTGCTGCGGCTTCCTTCTCCCTTGCAGTCCGCCTCCTGTTCTCTGACCCGCTCAGAGATCACAGGACATCACTGTCATGTCCCGTAACGAGAACACACCTCCACGCCTCCCGCCTGTTTTTAAGCCAAAACATGCCCGATTTCTCTGGTACACACAGTCGTTTTCCCTGTTTTATCATTATTGTCATTATCATTACTATTTGTGGCTTTAATTACATATATTAGCATTCTTAACCTATAGAAACTTTAATTTCTGGTGAAAACTAAGAAGTAAGCAATTGTGAACTGTCACACCAGTGATCCATAGGTTAATAAATTTATGAATACATTTTGTAATTTCTAGAAATAGGTGCTTTTTCATATGCTCTTTCAATGAGGCACAAGACGCGTTTACTAAGAAAGCTGAATATCATGGGTTCCTCTGTGGTGAGACACTAAAGTAGACAAATCTATGTTCAGTAATTAATGTTCCATTATTTTATCTTATTTGGGAATAGTCTGGATAGCCATGAATTTCCATCACTTAACGTAGTTAGCAAAACTTGGAAGTTTCAAAGAGATTTAGGAAACCATTTTTAAGTGCACATAAATATAACTATTGCTAAAGACTTCACCCCAGCCCGCCGGCGTGGCTCCGTGGTTGAGCGTCGACCTGTGAGGCCAGGAGGTCATGGTTCAATTCCTGGTCAGGGCACATGCCCAGGTTGTGGGCTCGATCCCCAGTGTGGGTAGTGCAGGAGGCAGCCAATCAATGATTTTCATCATTGGTGTTTCTATCTCTCTCCATCTCTCTTCCTCTCTGAAATCAATTAAAAAGCATAAAACATGTCCTCAGGTGAGGATTAAAATGAAAATAGAGGACTTTTACAAATCAGTAGTATCAGCAGAGGTAGAGAATGCTGCACAGCACACCTGGGCGCACACAGACGCACGGAGACCTGGAGCCTGCGGGGGGTGAGGGGTCCTCTGGGCGTGGGGGCTCTCGGAGGGTGTCTGGAGAGCGCGGGTAAAGGCCTGCATGTGTCCCTGACCAGGGAGCCTGGGCCAGGGGAGCAGGGTGTGGGCGCCTTTGTCCGTCAGCCCTGGAGAAGGCAGGTCGGCTCCAGCCACTCCTGCCGCTGCATCCGGCCTCACCGCGGGTTGTGAGATGCGGGCATTTGCTCTGAATTCCCAAGGAATTGGGGTGAAACTTCAGTGATGTCATGGGCTGACCTTCCTGTCTAACTAGTTATCCCTGACCAGCTTCTGTCCCTGGCGCACACGGCTCATTTTGGCTCAGGGAGGGGCCTTTAAAAAGCTCCCGGCAGGCTCTGCGCTGCGTTCCCTGATGTCACCACATTTCTGGTCAAGGAGTCACTGAATCCTCTCGAGTATCTTAATGACCATCTAGGATCCCCACCTCTGGGACGAGTGGGGACTTTCCGTCACTTCCTTCTGCTCCTGTCAGTGTTTGCTTTACTCACCCTGATTTTTCAATCACCTCAAAAGGCTCGCGCCTTTTTGGAGTCTCCCCGGGGCTGTCCCCCTTTCTCTTGTTCGTTAACCTAATGTGGGTATCTTTTTGTTTTGTTTCTAATCCTCATGCGCGGATATTCTTTCCATAGAGTTTTAGAGAGAATGGAAGGGGTTGGGGAAGAGAGAAGCATTGATGTGAGAGAGATACATTGACTGGTTGCCTCCTGCACATGCCCCAAATGGGGCTGAGGAATCAAACCTGCAACCAAGGTACATGCCCTTGACAGGGAATCGAACCTGAAACCCTTTGGTACGGGGTGGTGATGCTCTAACCACTGAACACACTGGCCAGGGCTCATTAACCTAATGTTTTATTAGCACGTGTGGGACTCATGAGGGGAAGTGGAGACTGAACTCAGTGAGGCTCCCCGGGCGGGTTCTGTCTGTAAGGCTTGTTGCTAGATTTCTGTGCGCTCATTTACAAAATAACCTGGGCCTGATTGGTGGCCTCAGTGGTTGAACGTCGACCTAGGAACCGGAGGTGACAGTTCGATTCTGGTCAGGCATGTGCCCAGGTTGTGGGCTCGATGCCCAGGAGGGGGCATGTCGGAGGCAGCTGGTCAGTGGTTCAATCATTGATGTTTCTGTCTCCCTCTCCCTTCCTCTCTGAAATCAATGAATATATACTTTAAAACAATAGTAATAATTCGGTCTTTCTGTAGTTACCAATAAAAGTGCTATTATGGTGAGAGCTCGCTAGACATTTCTCAATTTGGAAGTTTTTCCAATTCAAAGGATCTGTCTGGCCAGTGACAGTGGGATCCGTTCGCCTCAGTAGCGTTTCCTTCTTACGGACGGAGGCTTTGTGGTGCAGCAGTGCAGCCTGGGACCCACGGTTCTCACCTCGAAGTAGGGAGGACGCAGGCAGGCAGGCAGGCGGTGCACACAGCCTCTCCGGACTCCCACCTCCCGCCACAACCGGCTGATCCGTGGCCCCGGCAGGCGCTACTCGGTGGGACTGTTCCAGCACCAACAAGGAACGCAGGTGGAGACGGCCCTAGGGGCCGGGTTTCCCATGGCACACTTCCCCGAAGGCGGGCGCAGTTGGAAAAGGGCACGGAGCCCAGCCTGTCCCACTGGCTGCCTGGTGCACCTGCTCAGTGGACCTTCCGGAGGGTGGAGACCAGCGACCAAGCCCAGCTCCTGGGACGTAGAGCCAGACGGCAGGACAACCTCGCGTGGTTTCCGTGGGACCCACAGTGGCTCAGGCTCGGCAGACGTGCCCCGGGCCCTGCCTGTGTCCTGTCCCTGCTGTAGCTCCTTCTTGTGGCAAACGCCACCAGGGACATAGACGCGGAAAAATGGCCACCTCTGGGAGGAAAGAGTCAATGGGAGAAACCTCTGCGTCGCCACCCACGGAGCCAGTTTCTTCTGCCAAACTGTAACTTCTGCACCGAGAAGGAGGCAGGAGGCTGACGGAGGTTACAGCCCGACCGCCGCGGCTGCAGCACCTGCCTTGGGTGCTCCAGGCTGGCTCGCCAAACGGCGGGGGGCGGGGGGAGGCGGGCGGGAAAATAATTCTCCTCTCACCTGTCTAAGTTCTCTGGCTGGACGAATAGTCCAGTGACCCGAGGCAGCTGAGCAGGAGGAAAGGACGGGAGTGCAGGTCCAGGGGGTGCGAGACCCCGGGGGCCCCGAAAGGGGAGGCCGCTGTGTCAGGGTAGTGACTCAGGTACAACGCGCAGCCCCAGCGCAGGCTCTTCTCCACGGGTGCCCCAGGCCCAGCTTCCAGCTCCCCTGCCCCCCTGGGGTCGGGGCTGTCACTGGGTGGGCATCCCAGGGACCCCGCGCGCCTCCCGCCTGGGAGAAGCCAGAAGCCAGTGTGGACCTGCGCTTACGCACACTGAGGGCTGTTTGTTCTTTATTCGCAGAGGTATTGTGGCCAGTATTTTGGTTTTCTTATGTTTTGGAGTCACACAAGCTAAAGACGGGCCATTTTCCAGACCTCATCCAGGTAACTTGCCATTTCGTTTTGTGTGTGTGCCCGCCCGCATGGCGGTTCTGCTCTGAGTGGCTGCTCTGTCTGTGCTGCTGGGTGGAAGTGCCCTGCCCTGCCCTCCCGGGCCAGCCACCCCCACTGTGGCCATCGGAGGAGGATGAACGGGGGTGTTCCTGTTCTTTCAGCCCCTGGATCCCTCAGCCCCGCGCAGGCCCAGCTGTCCTCGCCCCCTGCCTCTGCCTCTGCCTCTGCCTTCCCCTGGCTCCTGCAGGGAGAGTCCCGGGCCCGTCCACTGGCGCTGGGGTGGCTCCCACGGGCAGCTGTGCCTTAGGCGTGAGGCGGCCGCCCTGCCATTGAGGCCCTGCCTGCGTCACGTTGTGTCGGTCCCTGTCCCCCGAAGTTATGGGGAGTCCTGACAGCGCACAGCGCCGGTGCCCGGCCAGCCGGTGGCTCCCGCTCCCTGGGGGCAGGGGCGTGGTTTTCCGGTAGGGTCACATGTAGTAACATGCTTCCTTTCGTCTCAGTAGGGCTGTGTATTTATTGTAGAAAATTTGGAAAATGCAGAAATATTTTTAAGGAAAAATAAATACCACTCCCCAGGTAACACTGCCAGGCTTTGCCGTGTTTGTAGACGTCTGTCCGCGCATCGCTTTACAGTTGGAACCGTGAGCGTGGCCTCGCATCATGGATTTCCACGCAGGCTGACACAGGCCTCTCCTATTTGTTTATTCGACAGCTGGGTTCATTCGTCTGTCTGTCCGTCCTTCCTTCCTTTCTCTTTTATCCTCACCCGAGGATGTTTTTCCCATTGACTTTATTTAGAGAGAGGGGAAGGGAGGGAGAGAGGAGGAAGAGAGAGAGAAAAAGTGATTGACGTGAGAGACACATTGGTTGCCTCCTGGGGACGAACCTGCAACCAGGGAACTTACCCTTGGCCGGGAATCAAACCTGAGACCCTTCGATCCTTGGGCCGACACTCTAACCGCCAAGCAACCGGCCAGGGCTGACAGCTTGACTTTAACGGCTGCTTGTTCAGCCGCCACATGAATGTGCTCAGTGAACCCGTTCCTTGCGGGGGCTGCTTCGGGGTCCCCAGGAGCTGCAATGAGCGTTCCCACCACCTGTGTGCGCATCTGGGCTCTCTCCATCTGAGTCCTGGGAGGAGGAGCCGTGATGACCCCACTGGCCCTCAGAAGGGACGTGTTCGTGGCCTAGTGGGCACCATGCTTGTGAGCGAGGGCCTGTTGGCAGGGAGCTCGCCATGTCTCCTGCCAGGCGAACTCTCTGCCCTGCGCAGCACACCCAGGGGGCAGTGGGAGGGGGCTCTGACTCCACAGAGGAGTGTGGTGGGGGCGCTCCCCCCTCCCGCGTCACTGGGAGGAGGCTCTCTGGGCTTCTCTCTCTGGAAACCTGGTTGTCCTCGAGAAGGCACTTCCCTTCTGATGTGTCTCTCTCCCTCCGACAGCGGGGGGCCAGTCAGGGCGGGGCTGCCAGCGCTGTGACGGCCAGCTTCGATGTTCAGGGAGAAAGCCGGGGGGCGTCCTGAATCGGGGCCGGAGACCAACCTCCTGGTGGTGGAAATGGGGGGGCACCACAGGGTGACAGTGGGGGCTCTGGGTGGCCGCCCTCTGTGCCAGCAGGTGCGGGGTGTGGGGTGCACAGCAGCAGTGGGGGAAGGGCGCCTGCAGGCTTGGTCTGGGGCCCGTGGGGGGTGATGTGCAGGGCGCCTGCAGGCGGGGGGGCCCTGTGATTGCACCATCAGCCCAGTAACTGCTCTCGCAGCCCTTGGACCAGGGAGCATTTCCCAAGCTTTAGCCACGTGAGCGCAGGAGAACGCGCCTGTCGCCTTGGCTGCTCCTCCCAGGCCCAGGGCTCTGAGCGCACGAGCCTGGGCCCACACTGTGCTTCCTGCTGCACGCTGGTCTTCCCTCGGCAGGTGCACGGACAGGTCACAGCTGTGACACAGTGAGAGACGAGAACTAGTGAGTGGTCGTCTAGGAATAACTCGCTGCTCACACTTAACCTGCTGCCCAGCCTGTCCCTCCCGTGGCTGCCCCTCCAGCACCTGAGGCGCAGGCCCTGTGGGGACCCACGCCTGGCGCTGCAGAGCTCTCCCTCCCCATCTGGCACCTCAGGCCCTGGCACCTCCCACCCCTCACCCGCCTGCCCGCACCTACGTCTGTCCTGATGGGGGCCCGCTGCACAGGGCGGGGAGCTGGAGACGTCCCAGAGCGACCCGGCCCGCCCCGCTCTCCTGGCCCCGAGTCTGCGAAGCTTGTCAGCCCCTTTCTAGTCCCGGGAACTTGCTCCTAAGAGTTGGCTGGGGTTTGCGTCACCTGCAAAGGAAAGTAGAGCCGTGGGACTTTATTCAACAGGATTGTCGGGATTCTCCGCGGCAGAAGCTACCGTTTGCGTTTTAGAGTAGTTTCAGTGCCCCTCCCTCGACCTCCTCCCGCTGTGAAAAGCTCAGCTTCCCGCTGGGGCTCTGACAGGCGGGGGGTGGGGGGGGCGGCCTGGCTGAGGCGCAGCCTGCTGTGTTCTGGTATGGCTCATGCGGGGGACACACACACACCCACACACTGAACCAGCACCGCCTCTGTCTCCGCCTGTGATGGCCGTGTTTTGGTGACGAGAACATGTAGGATCTGCTCTCTTAACTCCAAGCATAGCAGTCACCACAGGGACCAGCTCCCAGATGCCGGATGGAAACAGAAGCCAGGCCCCGACAGCAGGTGTCATGGTGACCACGTTAGGTTCAGCCCAGGGACTCAGCATCAGAGCGTGCGTTCCTGTGTTCATCGCACACTACAGAGAGCAGCTGGTCCTCGCAAATGCAGGAAAATAAAGTGTTACGCTCATTCATGGTAACTTAGCTTACTGGAATTAAAAGGCTTTTAAAAATACTTTCATTGATTTCAGGGAGGAAGGGAGAGGGAGAGAGAGAAACATCAACGCTGAGAGAGAATCACTGATCAGCTGCCTCCTGCACGCCCCACACGAGATCGAGCCCACAACCCGGGCCTGTGTCCTTGATCGGAATCAAAACTGGGACCCTTCGGTCCGCAGGCCAACGCTCTGTCCACTGAGCCAAACCGGCCGGGGCTAAAAGAGTTTCTTGATAGCCCTGCCAGTGTGGCTCAGTGGTTGAGCATTGACCTGTGAACCAGGAGGTCACAGTTTGATTCCTGGTCAGGGCACATGCCCAAGTTTTGGGCTCAATACCTGGTGATGGGCGTGCAGGAGGCAGCCAATCAATGACTCTCTCTCATCATTGATGTTTCTATCCTTCTATCCCTCTCCCTCCCGCTCTGAAATCAATAAAAACAGGAAGAAAAAAGAGATTTTTCTGGACCTGATCAAAGGAGTCCACCAGAACCTGCCTGTGGCCCGTGTGGTGTTGGGCCAGAAGCACGGCTAGTGAGCACAGGACAGCGTGTCCGTCTGCTCTGGCCCTCTGTGCTGCAATGAGGCCAGAGAGAGAGAGAAAGGTTCGACCTGAATGGGAGAAGGGAAGGAAACGCTTTAGGGAGAAACGTGCTCGCACCTGAGCCAGGTCGTGCTGTAAGGAACCTGCTAGACCAAGCAGGGCCAGAGCGGACGGTGTGTCCGGACCGCGGCCGGGCGCCCTGACGCTGTCTCTGTCTTCGCAGCGTACTGGAGGTTCTGGCTGTGTGTCAGCGTGGTCTACGAGCTGTTCCTCATCTTCATCCTCTTCCAGGTAAGCAAGCCGCTGCAACGGGCTGGGCGCACGGGGTCAGGTGATGGTGTGGCCCCAGGCAGAGAGTCGTCACAGGTCTGCACACCAGCCCGTCCCGGCCGTCAGCAAAGGGCCGGCTGCCGTGTGGAAAGGGGGAACCTGTCGCAAGTGAACGTCTTGCCCACTGGGAAGCCGTCTTGCCCACTGGGAAGCCGAAGGGCAGGCGCCTCCTGCAGGCAAAGGAGAGGCTGTCTCTTCTAGAGCAGGTTCCTTCCTGCCCTGGTTCCCCATTGGCCCATTTCCATGCAAATGAGGAATCCAGATTTACACCGTCTGATTGGTCAGCTTCAGACATTCTGAGTGGTAACGGAGCTGCTCTGATTGGTCAGCATATGCAGATGAGGTATAGCTGTGCAGCTGGAATGGGCAGGTGCTGGTCTCAGCCGATTGGTGGAAAGAGGATACCAGGAGCTGCTCTACCAGGTCTGCTCAGCCGCAGGACACTGCAGTCCAGGAGGCCGAGGGCTCAGGCAGAGGCTTCTCCCTGAAGTGCAGTCTGCCTGGCAGGCCTCTGTCCCTTATGGCTGCCGGATTCTGGTCATGAAATCTGCCTGGTTAAGCACAGGGAGTCCTCCAGGTCCACAGCAGCAAAGCTGAACCCCAACAAAAGTGAGGGTAGGCCCGGCCAGTGTGGCTCAGTGTTGGGTGTCGATCTATGAGCCAGGAGGTCACGGTTCCATTCCCAGTCAGGGCACATGCCCGGGTCATGGGCTCGGTTCCCCAGGAGGGGGCATGCAGGAGGCAGCCGATCGACGATTCTCTCTCATTATTGATATTTCTCTCTCTCCTTCTCCCTCCCTTTCTCTCTAAAAATCAATAAAAACATTGTTTTACAAAGTGAGTGGAAGCTGTGAGGGGACCTTGAGACGTCCCCTTTCAGCAGAACCTGTATTCTGGGCGTGGAGCTCGCGCCCGGGCCCCTGGTGCAGGTTGTGCTGCGTGGGCTCTGCCCTGGCGGCCTCGGGTCAGTCGAGCTGGGACAGGGCCAAGTGTGTGGACCGGCTCCCGTTCGGGCACCTGGTGGGCCGCCTTGGCTCTGAGTGGCAGGAAGGCAGAGCTGAGCAGGACCAGCGCTGGGACAGCACACCTGTCCCGGACATGGTGCTCTCGGCGGGTCCGGCGGCCCCGGCAGCCTCACTGGGGCTCTGTGTGGTGGCTGACGGCTGTGGCTCCGTGCGCGTCTCCCTCCCGTGCGTGTCCTGCGGGTGCGCGTCTGCGGACGGTCGGAGGATGTGGATGTCGGGTCAGGATCTGCTGCCTCTCGCGTCTGTGCTGTTACTATTCCTCCTGCTTGGCTCAGTGAACGCGCCTCTTGTGGGATCTTCCACTTCCAAGTGCCTCCCTGCTCGCGGCCTCGGAAGCCTCAGGGCGCTGTCCTCTCCGGGCAGCGGGCAGCTCTGTGAACGTTAACACCGTTCGTGTTTGTGCCCACAGCGAGGACAGAACAGTCCCCCCAGGCGGTCAGAACTGCGGCTGGCTCTTGTGTGTAACTTCAGCCTCGTTTGCCACCAGAAGCCCCTCTCAGTAGCTGCTTCTTCCTTCGGGCTCCCGCCCCTAAGCCTGTTTCTGTCCCAGGACCCCCCAGAGCACTGAGCGGTCCCACCTCCTCAGGCCCCTCTGGGCTGGGAGCCGCGCCCCTGCAGAGGGAAGTGAATTGGGAAGTGATGGCTCCTGTCTCTTGCGGGTGGTCTGACCCACGAGGTCTCTTGCAGCTGCAGGTGCCTTTCAGGGTCCCGTGTCCGTTTCTGTGCGGCAGGTGGGGTGCTGACGGCTCCTGGGGTGGGCCGGGCAGGGTCGCCTTCCATCGCGAGCACAGGGCCTCCCGTCGTGAAGGTCAGCGAACGCACTGGCACCTCCTCGCAGTGCAGGCCCCTGGTGTGGCCGGGAGGGGAGGACCTGGCAGTGCAGGCCCCTGGTGTGGCCGGGAGGGGAGGACTCTCCGCTCCACGCTCGCCTTACTCGTGCGCATTCTCCAGAAACAGCTCCTTTCGGTGCATGGAGCTCGCGTCTGGCGCCCTCGCTGAGCTGGTTCATGCTGACAGTTCTCTTTGCTGCTGTTGGTGGGTTTCTGGGCATCCTCTGCACACAGGCGATGCCATCTGCACAGAGACGGTTCTGTGCCCTCCTCTCTGACCTGGTGCCGCCCCCCCTCTCGCCGTCACACTGCCCAGCCAGGCCCCGCCGGCAGCCAGACTGGGAGGTGGGCAGCGGCGGCCCTGCTTTCAGGGAAGAGCCTCCTGTCCGTCCCCTCAGAATGCCATCGCTGGGGGTTCCCGGGGGGCCCTTGCAGGTGGAGGCAGCCCCTCTGCTCCCAAGTCGTCGTCTTTATCATGAACGCGTGTTGGGTGTCGTCAAATGAGGTGAGCATGTGGGTGCGCCCTCTGTGCGTGATGTGTGTGCTACGTCGACGTGCTTTCTTGTTTTGAGCCAAGCAGCGTTTCGGGGACCCACCCTGGGCGCGGTGAGCAGCCCGGGCACGCTGTGCTCCGTCCGCCGTGCTGAGGGTCCTGCGCCCACACTCACGGGATGGCACCCCGTTTCCTGTCGGGGCTTTCCTGGTGTGGGTGTCAGGGCCACTGGGATTTACCTGGTGTTTTTCTCGTGATCTGACAGATAAAGGTGCCAACGCCAACATCACTTGTCGCTGTCGACGCCACCTCGCCCCCCGCCCCCCGCGTCAGGTTCCCTCCCTGGGACTCGGGAGGGTGGGCTGCACACAGCCGCCTCCTGGCCCGGAGCCCCCTGGCCGGGGGGGGGGGGGGGGGGGGCTTACCTCTGCCCAGGCTGTCAGGGTCCCAGCTTGTTGCTCTCGGAGCTGCAGTGCTTTGGGTTGTAACTGATTTCATGGCCCAGATGCTGGGCCGTCGGGAGCTCACTCGCTCGGCTCCTGCGCGCCTCGCCCCGTCGTGGGTTCTGGGCGTCTTACTTGGGTCGGTCTTGTATTTTTGAGCACTTCCCTTCCTTCTGCACCAGAAGACAGTGCAGGCCCGTCCTGGCATTTCCTGCCCGGCCTGACCCGGCCCCTCGCAGGAGCCCTGTCCTTCCTGGAGGAAGGTCTCAGGGCCGAGGCCCCGCAGGCGCACGGCCACCCTCGCTCGTGTCTGTAAATAAGCACCGTTGTCACTCGCACCCTCCTTCCCTGCGTCTGCCTCCCCCACCCCACCCCCACCCCACACACACACAGGCTGCGTCCCGTCACGGGAGCCCTGTCACAGGGAGGGCCCAGGGCCAGGGCCTCGCTGGCCTTTGCGGCGTGGGGTCAGGTCTGTCTGCCGCGGTGGCCTGTCCTCCGTGACTTCTTACTTCTTACATCCGTGTGTGTTCACACCGCAGGGCTGAGGATCCAAGACTCTGCCCCTGCTGGCTGGCCACTGGCTCAGGACTCGGCCCTGCTCACCCTCAGACCCGAGGTCACAGAGCCCACGGGGACCTCAGCTCTGCAGCACATCCCTGTCTGAGGGACGCTCCCAGAGATCCGGGCTCAGCTGGTGACAGAGGAGGGCCTCGGCCGTGGGACAGGAGGGCCTTGGCCGTGGGACAGGAGGGCCTCGGCCGTGTGACAGGAGGGCCTCGGCCGTGGGACAGGAGGGCCTCGGCCGTGGGACAGGAGGGCCTCGGTCATGTGACAGGAGGGCCTCGGCCGTGGGACAGGAGGGCCTCGGCCGTGTGACAGGAGGGCCTCGGCCGTGGGACAGGAGGGCCTCGGCCGTGGGACAGGAGGGCCTCGGCCGTGGGACAGGAGGGCCTCGGTCGTGTGACAGGAGGGCCTCGGCCGTGTGACAGGAGGGCCTCGGCCGTGGGACAGGAGGGCCTCGGTCGTGTGACAGGAGGGCCTCGGCCGTGGGACAGGAGGGCCTCGGCCGTGGGACAGGAGGGCCTCGGTCGTGTGACAGGAGGGCCTCGGCCGTGGGACAGACGCAGGTCCGAGTGCCGCCTGTCACGCAGCCTCGCTGGGCTGCTCCCTGGGGCGGGTGGGGGACGCCTCCTCTGTCACCGCGGTCCAGGGTGTGTGCTTATGTTGGTGTCTGCGAGAGGGAGGGGCTTCCTGACACCGTGTGTCGTGGGGAGGGGCAATGAGACCAGCGATCAGAGACCCCAGTGCTCCCACGGGAGGCGCACCTGTGACCCCACACGGCCTGGTCCTGTGCGGGTGTGGAACGTCACCTGGAGCTCGGGACTCCCCGGTCCGCACAGCCCCGAGTAGGGGGACGGCGTGTGGTCGACAGAAGTGTCGTCTGCGCACCACAAACCCCGTCCCCCTGGGCGGCTGGAGGTGTCAGTGCTGGGTGGGGGCGGGGCCCACTCACGCGGACGCTGGCCTTGCAGACGGTGCAGGATGGCCGCCAGTTTCTGAAGTACGTTGACCCCAGGCTGGGGGTTCCGCTGCCGGAGAGGGACTATGGGGGGAACTGCCTCATCTACGACGCAGACAACGAGACAGACCCCTTCCACAACGTCTGGGTAAGGACGCCCGGGGGGCGGGGCCAGGATGCAGTGGGGGGCGGTCCCCATTGGAGGGGCACCCTGTGTCCTCGGGTTCGGGTGTGCCCACACACGCCTCAACACATGTGTGTGAGACCCCAGATCGTCCCCTGGCAGGTACTGTGCAAGGGGCCCTGGGTGTGCACAGGGGAGGGAGGCCTCGGGCTGTGAGGACATCACAGGACCCAGTCCCGGGCAGGGCTGTGGGGGCTGCACGGGGGGTATGGGGGGTATGAGGCCTGCATCTCACCCACAGGACAAGCTGGATGGCTTCGTGCCCGCGCACTTTTTTGGCTGGTACTTGAAGGTAAGGGAGCTCATGGTCGGCTGGCATGTCCTGTTTGCCACCCCCCCTGTGTCCTGGGCCTTTGCTGGTCCTGGGGTGACGTTGAGAGTGGTCCGACTCTGATGAGCAGCGCTGGGGGCCACAGCGCAAGACTCCCGGGCCTGTCCATGGCGTGTGGTGTGGCTGTGAGAACAATGGAGAAGACCCTGGCCCCCCCCCTGTGCCTGCCCTCCTCCCGAGTGAGGGCGGCTTCGGGAGGGGCTGACGCTGGGGCGTGCCCTTGCCCCGCCCGCAGACCCTGATGATCCGCGACTGGTGGACGTGCACCATCGTGAGCGTGATGTTCGAGTTCCTGGAGTACAGCCTGGAGCACCAGCTGCCCAACTTCAGCGAGTGCTGGTGGGACCACGTAGGTGCCGGTGATGGGAGGGCGTCCGCCCTGGCCTGGCCTGAGGCCTGTGTCCCGCACCCAGGCCCGCCCACCCTGCAGGGGAGGCGGGGGGCTGAGGGGAGGCCGGACGGAGCTGCAGGGTCCACGGGGCTGCCTCCCACCTCCAGTGGATCATGGACGTGCTGATCTGCAATGGGCTGGGCATCTACTGCGGCATGAAGACCCTCAAGTGGCTGTCCCTGAAGACGTACAAGTGGCAGGGCCTCTGGAACATTCCGACCTACAAGTACGTCTGCGAGCGTGGTGCTGCGGGGCCTGGCATTGGGGTGGGGCCTGGAGGGGCCCTGAGGGTCAGCCCTGTGCCCTCCAACGTGCCTGGGGGGGGGGGCGGAGGGTTTTGCCTCCTGTACTCCCCACCTGGGGTTTGACCCTGGGCTGCCCATGGGAACCTCGAAGGCCCTCCCGGTGGCTGGGACGTCAGCCGTGCTGTCTGGCCAGCGGCTGCGGCCCCGCAGCCTGCTCAGGGCTGCCCTCATGGCGTGGTTGCAGGCTCTGCCATTTTTATTTTGAATTTAAAAGAGAGAAAGTCCAGGAAAAGACCTGGGAGGCCAGGGCTGGGGAGTGGGGTCTCCTCTCCTGTCCATCTTGGGTGTCTTGCGGTGACGGGCACGGGACTAGGAACCTGCTGAGGCCCTCCCACCCCCGGCTCCAGGGGCAAGATGAAGAGGATCGCTTTCCAGTTCACGCCCTACAGCTGGGTCCGCTTCGAGTGGAAGCCCGCCTCCAGCCTGCGCCGCTGGCTGGCCGTGTGCGGCATCATCCTGGTGGTAAGGCCGGCCGCCTCCCGCGCACGGTCCTCTGGGCCCGGCCCGCCGCCCACACGCCCCTGTCCCCCAGTTTCTGTTGGCAGAGCTGAACACCTTCTACCTGAAGTTCGTGCTGTGGCTGCCCCCGGAGCACTCCCTGGTCCTGCTGCGGCTGGTGTTCTTCGTGAACGTGGGCGGCGTGGCCATGCGCGAGATCTACGACTTCATGGACGACCCGTGAGCCGCGGGGGGACAGGGGCGGGCGGGGCCTGTGCCCACGCAGGCGGTCCGAGCGCCCTCCCAACGCATGCCTCCCCTGCAGGAAGCCACACAAGAAGCTGGGCCAGCAGGCCTGGCTGGTGGCCGCCATCACGGCCACGGAGCTGCTCATCGTGGTCAAGTACGACCCGCAGACGCTGACGCTGTCCCTGCCCTTCTACATCGCCCAGTGCTGGACGCTCGGCTCCGTGCTGGTGCTCACCTGGACCGTCTGGCGCTTCTTCCTGCGGTGAGGCCCGTCCCGGGCGGGTGCAACGGTCGGTCCTGTGTGGCTCTGTCCGCCCGCCCAGCCTTGCAGGGCAGGCCCTGGGGCCTCCGCATTCCGATGACCCGCCCTACTGCCCCCAGGGACATCACCCTGCGGTACAAGGAGACCCGGCGGCAGAAGCAGCAGAGCAGCAGTGACCAGGGCAACACTGTTGGCCACGTGGACAGGCACCCGTCTGGGCCGGACAGCCCCTCAGGGCCCCTGGAGGCTGAGAGGGAGGGGGCACCGGCTCTGAACTGACCTGCTCCCCACACCCGCCAGGACACAGGTTGTGTCCCTTCCTCCTCCGATTCCTGTCAGGAGCCTCCGACAGGCCTCCCTCTCCCCCAGCAACAGCAAGGCTCGGCGGCATGGAGGAGGCCGTCCCACAGGGCTGGTGTGCGGTGGCCTGTGTGCACGTGTGTGCACTTCGTGGGCTCTGGGCTCCTGGCTTCTCAGCGACGGTGTGGCTGGGGCGCGCCCTGGGCAGTGGCCCCCTTTCTGTTGGTCTGCCCACAGCCCTCTGGCCACACCGAGCCCCGGCGCCTAGAGGGCCAGGCCCTGATCCCCAAAAGCCCCTCTGCCCCGCGCCCACGTGTTCCTGAGGGTGGTCCACCAGCTCCTGAGATGGCCGAGACGGGCAGATCCGAGCTGCAGCCCTGAGCCGTTTCCTTGGAGCCTTCCGCCAGCCCAGCTGACGCAGAGGGCGTGGGGGGCGGGGCCAGACCCTCAGCCCTGTGCCCAAGGTTGGAAGGAGGGGTCCTGGGTTTCTGGCCCCAAGTGGGTCATCTCCTTGAGCAGACAGAACAAATAAATGGCGATGGTCTGAGCTCGTGTCCTCACTGACCCCACGCCCCCCCCCTGGGTCATCGCCCGGAGGGGCAGGAGTCCAGTGGCAGGGCTGCCGGCCTGGGCACAGGGTCACCCGCTCTGCCGTGTTTGTGCCCCTGGCGGTGCCTGCACGGGGGACGGCCTGTGCTGGTTCTGGGTGGGGGAGGGGGCGCTGGACCCTGGCGGGGAGGGGGGGGGGCGGGGCGGCGGGTAAGCGCACCTGCTGAGGAGGGAGGGTTCCTCAGCTGCTTTATTGTCAGCTCCTTTGGGGGGGGTGGCCGAGAGGCTGAGAAAGGGCTGTGAGCACCGTGCGCCCCCAGCTGCCCCTCCCCTGAACCTTGTCCCTGCGAGCGCCCTGTTGCTGGTGGAGCCCCTGCGGCCACAGGCTGCCCGCACTTCAGAAGTGTCCAGGATTGGCTGGCTCTGCTGTGGAGTGCCCGCCCCCGGCCCCCAGCCCCCGGGCTGGCTCTGCACTTGTCCTGAGCTCCACCCGCTCAGTGCCGTGTCCCCAGCTCCACCCCCGGTGCATGTCCCTGAGGCTGAGCCGTGTCGCAGCAGGTGCGATGGTGCTGTGTCCATGGTCACTCCTCTAGGTCAGCCTCCCTCCTCGCTCTGCTGTCCCCGTGGGTGGTGGCCGAGCTCCCCTTGTCCTGGCTGGTCCCAGGCTCTCCTGTACCAAGTGCGGGTACTGACTCAGCTGCTGCGGCCAGAATGCCTCCCGACTGTGCCAGTCAGAGCAGGTCATCCTGTGCTGGCAGGTGAGGCCTGCCAGGCGCGAGGGTGCACCCTGCCCTCCATCCAGGGGGCTGAGAGCTGTCAGGAGAGCGCGCTGGTTCCAGCAATGTGCAGGCCTACGGCTACAGGTGAGCCAGGCCCAGGGACGGCTCCCAGGGGGTCCCGGGAGACTGCTGGCCCGTAGCCAGGCCTCTGAGGCAGAGAGCACGTTCTGGGGCCCCCAGTATGGGAGGACTTGGCTCCCGGGGCAGACCTGCTGTCCTCCCAGGCCTGAGGCAGGGGCTGTGGGGTGGCTGCCAGGGCCACAGGGAGCAGGTCCCCTGGGGCACAGCGGGCCAGGGCCTGGAAGACACGTGTTTCAGCTGCCAAATCTGGGGCGGTCTCTTGAGCAGCAAGACAGCGTTCATAAAAGCATCACCTGCAGTGCAGAGCCTCAGGGGCCCACAGGAAGGACAAAGGGCCTTCAGGACCTTCTACCCAAAACATTTTAATAACTATAAAGTGTCCAGAATGTTTACAGAAGCTGGTTTGAGCATTTCCCTTCAGTGACGGCTAAGGCACCAGGAGTGACCCTGAGAGCTGGCCAGCCTCTCGGGCGCCGGGGCAGGGGCAGCGGCCGGGGCTCAGTAGATGATCTTCAGGTTCGGCTTCTTCTCCTCCATGGCCCGCAGGAGGTCGTCCGTGTCCTCCCTCCAGTAGATGTCGTACAGGCTGTGCAGGGGCAGGGAGGGTGTGGGCCGGGGCACAGCCAGGGCACCCCCCCCCCCCCATCCTCCCTGGTCTGGCTGAGCCAGCAGCCCTGGACCCCGTCCGCCCATCACTTACACCAGCTTCTCCAGGGGGCAGCTGGGCTGCTGGGCGCTCTCGGCCACCTTCATGACGCCCACCTCGCTCATGTAGTTGTTGCTGAGGTCCAGCTCGAGCAAGCTGTGGTTGGCCAGCAGGAGCGCGGCCAGGCTAGTGCAGCCCTGGTCGGTCACCTCGCAGTCCCCCACCCTGGGCGGACAGCAGGGCAGAGGTCAGGATAAAGGCACACCCCCAGGCGGCCGCTGACTGGCTGAGTGACCTGGGCCTGCGCCACCACCGCCACGTGGGCCAGCGGAGTCCACACACGGCCCGTCCCTCACCAAGACCCGAGGCCAGAGCCGCCCCCAGGGGAGCACAAGCCGGACACGGAACCAAGACGGAACTGGTGACGGACTGAAAAGGAAAGATGCAGGGAAGGGAGAGTCCAGGGTGGGCCCTGAGACCTGATGGGGTTCCTGAGCGCCCCAAGGCCTGACGCTGTGAGCCTGGCCCAGCGCAAGCAGGACCCGGGGAGGACAGCCCAGGACGGGACAAAGGGTTCCTCTGTGAGGGAGGACCGGGCCATGATGATGGGGCCCGACTGGCGTGCTGCCCTCCTCTCCCCCCTACTCCCCCCATCCCCCCCATCCCCCCCCCCCACACACACACACACACGCCGCCCACTCACGAGAGCATCTGCAGGGTGACGCCCGGCTGGCCCAGGCCCTGGCACAGCACCTCCATGCCCTCGTCCCCCAGGTTGTTGCTGCTCATCTGCAGCTCCTGGAGGCCCCGGTTCCGGGCCAGCATCGCACTCACATGCGGGCAGCAGGCGGCCGAGAGGCCGCAGGACTTCATCCTGGGGACACGGAGGACAACTGCAGCCCAGGCCCTCGGGCACCAGGGGTTCCCCATGTCCCGCCCAGAGAATCTCAGCGCCTTCCCGCCTCCATGGACCTGACATGCCTGCCTCCCCCTCAGGCGGCAGCGGGTCCTGGTCCTCAGACCCCAGCAGTGTCCCCACCAGGCCACCCCCTCAGAGGTCCCCTCGGGCGGCTCCTCCCTGTACGGCCGGCACTCACCACAAGGACTGCAGCTGGCAGCTGGGCTCCTGCAGGGTCTCGCACAGCAGCCGCGCGCCCTCGTCCCCCACCTCGTTGCCAGACACACTGAGCTCCTTCAGGCTCTCCTTGGCTCTGAGCACCCGGCAGAGGTCCTTGCAGCCCCTGGCCGTGAAGTCACACTCCCAGAGCCTGCAGAGGCAGGGGACGCGTCACAGCAGGGCCACCCAGGGGCAGTCCCGCCCCACCTGGCCAGGCCACAGCCTGGGGGCAGGGAGGGCGGGCGGGTGGGGACACGCCTGTGCAGAGCTACCTGGATGGACCCCACGGCCCTCTGCCCAGCCTCCAACTCACCACAGGGTCTTGAGCCTGGAGCTGGGGCTCAGCAGCCCAGGGCACAGCTCCGCGATGCCCGCGTCCCCCAGCTTGTTGCTGCCCAGATGCAGCTCGCTCAGCGAGGCCTTGGCGGCCACAATGCCACCCAGGTCCTGACAGTTGGCCGCGGTGAGGCCACAGCTCTCCAGCCTGGGGCACAGGAAGCGCTGTGGCAGCTGCAGACACCACCCGCCCCGCTTCCCGCCGCCAGCCCAGCGCTTACAGGATTGACTCCAGCGGGCAGGAGGTGTCGGCCAGGCCCTGGCACAGCGTCCGGGCGCCAGCCTCGCCGAAGTCGTTGTTGCTCAGCCGCAGGTTCTTCAGCTCCCGCTTGGCCCTGAGCACCGAGGCCAGGGCCTCGCAGCTGGCGGCCGTCAGGTTGCCGTACTCCAGACTGGGGACAGGCGGCGGTCAGCCCTCCCTCCTGGGCCCCCGCCCACCCTCTGGAGACCACCCACCGGCACAGGTACCCGAGCGCAGGAGTCCTGGACCCGGAGCAACACGCCCAGCCTCCCCCATCGCTGAGCCCATCCGCGCGCGGTCACCGGCCAGCTGCCCGCTCCTTTGGGGGTCACAGCCCATTCATGGGACATGTGCCCGGGAGCCCCTCCTCAGACCTCCCTGCGACGACACGTGGGCGAAGCCGAGTGACAGCGGGTGTGGGGCTGAGGTGACGGGGGAGGGGGGGGGGGCGGGCAGGCATCAGGGACGCGCCAGGAAACTCACTGGAGCCTCTCGATGTGGCACTGGGGGTCCAGGAGCCCCTCGCAGAGCAGCTGCAGGCCCGCGTCCCTCAGCGGGTTGTAGCTGAGGTCCAGCTCGCGGAGGGAGGGCATGGAGCGCAGCACGCTGGACAGGGCCCCGCAGCCCGCCTCCGACAGGTTGCAGCTCTGGAGGCTGTGGGAGAGCATGTCCATCACGGGAGGCCACGCCCGCCAGGGGAGGCCACGCCCGCCAGGGGAGGCCACGCCCGCCAGGGGAGGCCACGCCCACCAGCGGGAGGCCACGCCCGTCGCAGGGGCTTAAGCTGCGCCGCCAGGCTGGCTCCCGGCTGCGAGCGGGCACAAGCGGGCGCAGGTCCCAGGCCCAGGGCAGGAAGGGAGCATGGGACGGAGGAGAGAGGCCTGAGATGCGCCTCCTTCGGGGCAGGAGTGGGTCACTGTGCACCTCCCTCAGGAGCAGGGGGAGCCCCAGGCCCCACGCGCGTGGCTGCCGCCACGTGAGCTCACCTGAGCTTCTGGATCTTGCAGGCGGGATGCAGGCTCTGGAGCACCAGCTGTGTGCTGGCATCGCCCAGCTCGTTGGAGGAGAGGTTGAGCTCGGTCAGGGCGGGGTTGTCCCGGAGCGCGGAGCTCACGTCCTTGCAGCGCCCCTCCGTGATGCCACAGTCGACCAGCCTGCGGACGGGACACGCAGCGGTCATGCCAAGCAGCAGCTCATGACCCGTTAGTGGGCCAAGAATAAGGTCGTCACACCTCGACATTTTTTTTGAATTAAATCTTTATTGTTCAGATTATTACAGTTGTTCCTCTTTTTTCCCCCATAGCTCCCCTCCACCCGTTTCCCCCCCCCCCCCCCCACTGTCCTCATCCACAGGTGCACGATTTTTGTTCAGTCTCTTCCCGCATCCCCCTCACCCCTTCCCCCCCCCCCAAGAATAGTCAGTCGACTTCCTTTCTATGCCCCTGATTCTATTATAATCACCAGTTTATTCTGTTCATCAGATTATTTATTCACTTGATTTTTAGATTCACTTGTTGATAGATGTGTATTTGTTGTTCATATTTTGAAAAAGCAAGTTTATTTTATTTTTTTTTCTTTTAAATCTGTCATTTTTTTAAAAAAATATTTTATTGATTTTTTACAGAGAGGAAGGGAGAGAGAGAGAGTCAGAAACATCGATGAGAGAGAAGCATCGATCAGCCGCCTCCTGCACATCCCCCACTGGGGATGTGCCCGAAACCCAGGTACATGCCCTTGACCGGAATCGAACCTGGGACCCTTCAGTCCGCAGGCCGACGCTCTATCCACTGAGCCAAAC